AAGAGCCCGTCGACCTCTTTGACATTGCCGATGACAAAGAAGGAGGAGAATACAGGGTCGCAAATCACAGGGTTGATAGATCAGGTCCCGATGGAAAGAGGGAACTTGATGCACTTATTCAGGAGGCTGCAGCACTCGGAATAAAGATGCCCAAAGTGAAAGACCTTGTTCCTGACCAACAACAAGTTCACAAGGTTGGATATCGGCAGATTGAGGTGACTTGCGATAGAGGAAACATCGAGATAATTCCACAGTATGGAGTTACATTCTATGTGGAGTACTGGAATGGACCGAAGAGAGATGCATCTTTCACGGATCCACCAAAGATGAACCCAGCAACTCGCATCGACAAGTCCAGCGAGGAGAGTCAGTGGGTCAACGAGATTAGCCATAGACTCAATAGACTACTCAGGCATGGAGTGGGAAAGCATAATGGGATTCAATCGCACCGCGGTCGAAAACCTCATGTGTCCCCGAAGTGCAATGAGGGTGGATGGGTGAACATCGATGAGATCCTGGAATATGATCATGTCTTCAACGATGGTGTCAATATCAGTACTATCTCAGGCACTCAACGTGAGCAAGATACCAAGACAGAGCGATACCAATATTTACGCAAGGCGATGTGGCATGCAAAGAAGTTGCAGAACAGAGTGCGCTATCAGATTGCCGCCATTCGCATCTCAAAGGAGGATGTCTCACTCGAAGAGGAAAGGCAATACTGGGCAAACCTCATGTATTACAGCACAGATGCACCGTCATTTCTGAAGCATGAACGTTGGATCGTTCCTTGTGCAATTCGAGCTGTTGCCTCTCACAATTCTGGGAGAGAGACTATTCTTGAAGAGGATGTGTCAATATATCCTGTGTGGACTTCACATCTCATTCCAGAGAATGTGGCAATGCAGCTTGGAGGAAGCTTTCACATGACATCGCTTTCCAATATTGAGTCAATCATGAAACTAGGAATTGTCCCTGGTGGAACGGATGGATATAGAGGTAGTGTTTTCTTCAACCACTTTGCGCCGTGGGATGATCGATCATCAAAGATTCTGAGATCAAGATGGCCAAGAGTGGGAATGCCCGTTTGCCTTTATGTTCCAATCATGACTTTGAGGAAGCTTGGGGGGAGAATTTCGGAGAATTCCTACACTGTTTTTAGAGAAGTTCCATGGAGATGTGTACGAGGTGCTTGGTATTGGGACGACCACGTTCAGGCATGGAGGAGACTCCTGCTGGGAAGCACTGGAGAGCAAGTTGTTCTAGCGGCACGTCATGGGCTTTGGGTTGCTCAGAAGCATACCATCCTCGAGAGAGCCGACGAAGTCACGAAGTCAGCCTCGGCGACAGATGACAACGTCCAAAAGCTCGTGTCCCTTATCGATGAAGTGAAATTCGATGACAATGGAGAGCTGATCGAGGATTCCATCAGTGAGGAGACCTGGGACGAAATCATCTCCAGAACATGTGAAGGGTATCGCAACGTGGATGGCAATATTTTGTGTCCATCATGTATGCATTTGACTTCTTCATCTTTGTCCGTGTGCCTATCTTGTCAAGGCAGGCTACTCTCGTGTGGTATTCGCAACAATGTCATTTCCGATTCACCCGTTGATCTTGTGACCGACGATGAAGAGGAAAAGAAGGAAGAGAAGGAGCCTGAAGATGTTGTTCAAGATACTTTGGACCAGGCCACTATGGACGAGATCAGAAAGGCTTGGGAAGAAGACATCGCTCAAACTGAAGCAGCTGACGACGACGAGGACATGGACAATCTAGATCCTTCCAAACCGTCTGATGGTGCAGAAAACTTCAAGAGTGACAATGTCGAGACTCCATCTTTCAATGAGGACGAGATCGACTACGGTCGTGATTCTGATCTAGAAGATGAAGACGAAAGAAACGTGATCATCGAGATCCAGAGGAGCACACAACAATATGAGGGGAAGAAACGTCAAGATGGTGAGCCCGAGGATGAAGACGTCACCGACGACTTACATCCGGAGGCGAATCGACCGACAGATCGTGATGAACCGGGATACTATGCACAGCATGGAGCGACCGAGTTCAATCCCGAAGAAGGAAGAGACAACGAAGATCTCCCCATCTATTGTCGAGTACCGGAACCTCGAATCTATGCGCATCAAGAGAGAGCCTACTGTCAGGACGTCTCCGTGAAAGCATCGGGTTTGATGGATAGGTACGTGGTCAAATGTGTGCTGAACATGATCTCCCTGATGTACAAGAGCTACTATTGCACCAGCCTTACCGACTTCCAAGCAAATTGGAAAAGGAAGCGTCTGGATGTGATAAGCAAGTTCGGTACAGGAGATTCCACTGAAATCGATGACGATGGGAGACCATTGGATCCAACAGATGATATGATGTTAAACTTTGCCAACGACAACAATATTACAACTGAGGAGGCCTGGCACCGATTCAGAGGAGAGCAATTCATTTGCAAGGTAGCACTCATGATCCTATCATTTGGTCATACCCCGAACTCCTTCAAGGAGGAATATGGCAACTTCGAACACTCCACCAACTTGACTGATGCCCAGCTTGAGGAGTTGAAAGCGAAGAAAGCCAGCGCAATGACTGAATTGGTACAGAAGTGCATCCATGCGATTTATGGTTGTCGGACATATTCTTACTTTAGAACCGACGTTACATCACCCAACCACAAGGTGATCGATCCTCTGGACATCATGTACTCGAGAATGAAGAGCAAGTGGGAGAAGTCTATTCTGTTGATCATCAATCAACACGAGATCAGGTTGCCCTCACAAGCTCAGGAAGTCATAGAGTCAATGGCCAGAAACCCCAACGTTGGACATACAGAGAGATGGATGAGCGTGGTAGAACATAAGCAGGTTCAAGCTCTTACCAATCGTCTAGGCTTTGGAGATAGGGCCAAGGAGATTCAGGGCAAGAAGAAGCAGGCAGCCAAGGCAACAGCTAAGTCAACATCAACGACTAAGTCTGAAGCGAAAGCAGCATCTTCGTCAAGAGCTGAGGCAAAGCCAGCATCTACACCCAGAACCGAGGCCAAGCCGTCGTCGGCACCAAGTGAGGAGCCAAGACCTTCAACAGAGGAGAACAAGGCGAAGGCTGCTCCAAAAGCCAGACCACTTGATAAATCACCATCCAGTGCTACCGATGTGTTTGAGCAAGCTTTGCAGGAAGATCTTGCCGCCAACGCACATGCAGCAGAAGGTACAACTTCTTCGTCATCCCGAGGACATTCCAAAGGAGGAGGCCAATCTGGAACATCTTGGAGGCCGGCACTAACGCAAGAACGTCGCGAAGTACCTCAACCTTCTGAAAAGGGGAAGGGAAAGAGCAAGTCCAAGGGAAAGTCCAAGAAGGGAGAAGATGATCGGTGGGATGCTCAGGGCAGCTGGGATCATCGTGGATGGAGAGGTTATCACCAGTGGTGATTTCTTTGAACGACTATGAGGATACCATGCAAACCAGGGAGGAAGTCATTCACCGGATGTCTATCTGACCTGAAACGCTGTAAGTGTATCATTGCAAATCGTCAATCTGATTTGATACCATGAGCATAATGGAAGGCAGACAGTCACCGACTGTCTCTCCGACTTGCCGTTCTGTAAGTGTATCCAAATCAAAACCTATATCTTTTGAGAAGTGTGAAGTCAGTTGCCGATGTGACATCTACGTGGAAGTCACCAGTTCGGATCTACATCAAAGCGATGCTCTTTTGAGTGGATACTGAGCGAGGCCTCGTGACTGTCTCACTTGTTCAATTCGATTTTTTTTTCATAGGTTCTGAGCCATAGTTGCACACTTTATATGTAAAAGTCCGCCTTAGTCCAGCATGTTTTGTAGTATGAGCCTCATATGAGTCTCGCGGCAAATCATACAATTTCTTTTGTAGCACTTACATCCCTAAATTTTCGTGTGTGATTGGAACATATTGTTACCGTTCACATGGGGGGTGCGAATGGAAGTGCAGCGACACGTACAGTGCAACTTGTACATATATATGTACCATATGTACTTTGGCTCAAGGATCAAGCGACTAGAAAAGGTGCGGTTTCCGTTCCGACGCTACGCCGCTTATGGACCGTCGGTGATAGCTTCAAACTTCGCTGATTAAGATCCACTCGCAAAAACTAATTAAACACACACATATATTTAAGTAATTATATTTTTCCTGGTGGGACAGGCGGTAGACTAATAGGGGGGGTTTCAGCCAAGCAAAATTTTTATTAGAGGGTGGTGGTGACTGTGGAAATTCATAGTTCAAATTAGTTTATTATTGGGGCCTGAACGCTGGGTAGACTAATAGGGGGGGTTGGTTAATCCTATGTTGACATTATTCTCATTGTTCGTTCCAATTTTTTTGACACAGAACACCTTGCGAGATCCGGTTGTCCTCTTCGGTAGAACATTTGATTGGGTTCATATGAGACATGCCCATGCTTTCTCGGGTGATATGTGCCAACCCATAATCGATGGTTGGGATATTCATAGATCCATGTTCCACAGCTCCATCAGGTGGTTCCATGTCCGGTCGAGACTCAAGTTGCAAAAAAATCTCGAGATCAGTTGCGGCCTTTGAGGGTCCCACATTCATTGCCCAAACCGTTCTGGGTCTTTGATCTTGGACGGGTGGTCTTTTGCAAGGAACTTAGAATATCAGCAGACAACTCTTTTAGAAGTACTGGTCTGTTGCATCCAAATCAAGAAGGCCTGCGGCGGGAATGCAAGACATATACATGTATACATGTCCACCATCATGGATCGTCCAAATCTGTCGATACTTATACTTATGTAGGCATTTCTCATCTGCCGGAATATTCCAAGCTCTTTGGAGGGAAACATGTGCATCTTACCCATGTTTGTTCCAGCTTATATCGCTCATGCCATCTGACACAGATCCATCTCCGTGTCACGCTCCATCTTGCCACTACGGCCACCCGAAACCAACGCGTCGTCGACACGACACGTCGTCGACCCGTCCTGACCGGCAGGTATCAAGCTCCAGGTGTGGGAGTGAACCCCTTGAACGTCGTGGAGGGCGCCGAGGCACGTAAGACGTCACGGAGACGGAGACGTGCTGTGGTTTTTTCTCGGTTTCTGTGTCCTGAGGGGAGTTGGCAACGGCCACAATACGACCTGCTATATGCTTTGAGCTTGTGTTTTTGCTGGTGTTTGAGCTATATGCGTTGATGAAGCAACAGCTTGATGGCTCTTAGGTCATCAAGATCTGGCATTATCAGTGAGAGTTCCCTATCCACAGAATGTGCAGCGTGTTTTCAAGCCTTGGCTGCTGATAGTGAGAATCTCGTTAATGTGGTTGTTCTTTCTTGCGGCCAGCATTGCTGTCGGAAATACAGTTGAGTTAATTCATCCAAAGATGGCTCTTGGAGGGGTCCCTGGCAGTTGGGGGAGTATCATTTGGAGCAAGCGGCAGCAGCACGGTTGGCAACAGAGCCTGATGGTTAGAGCCGATGAGGTCTTGCCTTTCTCGTCCTCAGAGGGACGTCCTTGCCGACCGAACGAGCGTCCGTCCACCAGCGGAAGCACCCAGCGGAAGCACGTGGGAATCCCATGATCCGAAGAGAATCAGAAGTTCGCCGAAGGGCGGCGAGACTTCAAGAAGAAGGAGAAGACAAGTGCAAAAAGCCTTTATATAAATATCTCTAAATTAAACGTTCCAAGACTTGTTCTTAGATTTAACTCATCCCAATAACTCCAGCGAGCGTCGCACAAATCGGCCTTCATGATTTCAAGTCAATGGGTCATTCTAGGGTTATTCTCTATACATGGTGATTGTTTGAAACAAAAAGCTCTTCTAAAGAATTATCATGAGATATCAGCTGCATGTCGCAACCAATCGGAGGCCTCTCAACCATGCAGCAAGTGCCCCCCTCGCAGTTTGCTGTATGCGCATGAAAGCAGAACTTTGGAGAGAGAGAGAGATGCTTATCATCTCACCCCCGCCTTTCCAAGCATTCTTGTATGCAAAGGAGTGGGAAGTTGCCGTTTATACCAAGGTCATCTCAGATTTGTCTCCAAAGTGAGACCACGATTACATTCTATGGGTCTTAAACGTAACGGAAAGTCACGTTTCAATTCATGATTCACCGAACTCACAAAAGAATATGCTTCTGGAAGTGACTCGACCAGTTGACCAAATCAAGTTGCTCCATGTTCAACTAAAGAAACAAACAACACCACACACACCGGTTCCTTTACTTGGACCCTTCTAGTGGAGTGCTCCATGGATTTCCCACAGCGACCCATCCAAAGAAGACCACACTCGGACGATGGCTGAGTCGTCCACCCCGCCGCACGCGCCGCGGGAGGCTGACATTCCCATCAGCGGCAAGCCGGCTCGGCCGAACTCGGAGCCGAAGAACGTCCGAGGGCTCAGCCTCAGCCTGCAGATGGGTTGGAGGTCCAAGAGTCTGCACTGTTAGAAGAGTTCAATTAGTTTAAACTCGGAATTCACCCAAGTGTTTATCATTATTTGGAGAATCTATAATTACTAATTAATATAGATTTATTGTCGGAATTTTGATTTCAGGACTGTTCACTCTAAGATTTGTATCTTACTTGGGGAGGATCTTGGATTTCCGGGAGTTGCAACTTACAAGGAGATTCCGAATACCAAGCAAAGTCTTCAAAGTCTTCACAGAATGACACGGTTTGTCGAGGCAAATATAGCCTGTGGACTTCTACGACACTCTAGTGTCGGTGGTTTGAGTTCGTGACCCCGACAGCGGAGATCGGCATGCAACCAATCATCCTTGGTAGCTGGAAAAGAATCATAATCATCCGTTACAGGTTGTGGATAAAAATCATAATACATATTACATATAACACATGTTGTTTGTTTCCAGCCAATGCTACTCCCGTGCATCAGTGTATGAATATTTGCCATCGCACTGCTTCCATGGCTAGCCTCACCGGAACTTTCCTTGACCAAAGCAAATGGCCTTCACACTTTTCAGACCGCTGTTCAAAGGCCCGTCCAAGAGGGGTAGGTATCCTGGCGTCCTATCGAGACTTCAGACTGAGACTAGACCATACTAAAGCATCAGTGACCAATTTTCGACAGTCAGATTAAACAGCAAAAGCAAAGCCTGGAACAAACACATCTATCAGCACCATGAACTGGTGCCCAAAAGCCCGAGGACCGCAACCGCAACCTGAAAGGCACGAAGTGTCCAAGGGTGTCCATAAAGCACAGGGTGTCCAGTGCTTTGAAAGTTCCAGCCCTTCACCATCAAACACCTGGCCTTCCATTCAGCCATGACAGAGCCGAGCTCCATACGTTCCCCAGGTCTTGGGGCGGATCAGGTTCCGTTTGAACACGTGCCCTCTCCACCAGAGCCCATCCAGTCGATCGAATCAGGATCCACTCGCCGTTCCGAAACCGAGTCGCTCCGCTTCGCAGTGCCCATCCAGGTCTTGACCATGGTCGCCCTGGCCTTCCGTTTGCGTCATTGTCGTGATCCGAGCAGTCCAACTCGCCCTCGTCCCAATGGGTTGGGTCATGTTGGGTCCGACATGGTCCGACGTGATTCATCGATCCCGTTCAGATCCCCCCGAGCCTCGAGATGTCAAGCCATGTTTTATGCTGATATGATCAATCTACATTCTTACAAAGTTGCATAAGTTTGCTTTGTTTGCAGCTAAGAAAAATCTACACGCTAGTTACACCAGTACCAGTAGTAGAAATAGAAGTAGAAGTAGGTAGTAGGTAGTAGGTAGTAGTAACTAGTAAGTAGTAAGTAGTAATAGTAATAGTAATACTAGTAGTATATAGTAATAAGCAGAGTGACGCAGGTTGTCTTTCAATCTAGAGTCCAATTTACCCTCGCCTGAGAAGAAAGGGACTGGACCTTTCGGATACGAATGAGGGCCCCAGACCAGTTTTGACGGCCAAGGAGGATGATCAAACACTAGCTAGCGAGTCGCCTGTTTGGATTAGCCTGGTTGATCAACCTGGCTTGGACACAGAAGGAGGATGTTGCAGGATCGTGACTTTGACTCCAACCCCTAGGCCTTGCATTGAGATGAAATGAGAGGATTTGCCAATTGTTGAGAGGTTTTTGGTGTCTTGCGATTTGTTCAAGATAGGGGACGATGTATTCTTATATTCTAATTCTAATAGTCTATAATTCGTTGTAGACTGCAATCACGTTGGACACGGAGGATCACAGCAGATGTTTTGCGTTTTCATTCTTTTGTCACTTTGTGAGCGAAGGGGTCTTCCATTGGGAGAGGCAACAGCAAGCCCGGCTTGCCGGGGTGTAGGTTGAAACTGCCTGGACTCATCCAAGCTGGTTAGTGGCCCCCAACCAAAACCCGCGTCTCCTTTCTCGCCAGGACTACATGCAGCTGCCATGGCAGCATGGGTGCCCTGAGGAGCAAGGGCGGACTCGACGACATAGGGTGGCCTCAAAGAAATCACCAAATTCGAAAGCACTGGGGGATCTACCTCGAGAAGCAGCACGCCCTGGCCAGAGCAGCAAGGAGTTTTGGTTTTTGAGGCTTTTTGCGTCTCCTCTCGATGATGCTTGATGTGTTGGTTCCAACATGTTTCAACTCGTTTTAGTCGATGTATGGCCACAGTCGACTGGCTGTTTGACTACTGATAGCATTTGATGGCCACATTCTGCAGGATTGCCTTTCTCAGACACCACATGTATTAAATTGAATATATATATATATATATATTACGTATTGATCAATAAAACCTGTCCGCATTGTAGATAAATATGCCAGACATAGAGTATCACATAGTCTTAGAGTGTTTGACATTTTTCGGTACTGTAATGTTATGTGCTGCGTATCCCCGTCTTCACTGAATATGTTGTCCATGCAGTTCCGCAGCAATGTGGACATTGCAGGAATTCAGTTCCAGATGGGTTTGAAGGTTTTCCAAGCGACTCCCGAACAATCCTTTGGGTCCACAATCCAGAACCAACACTTCAGAAAGTGATGGTTCAGAGTTCAGAGGCAGAGGTTGCCATGGACCCCTCGGAGGCTGCCAGCCGTTGCTGAGGCCCGGCTTGATCTATGGCTTTGCCTGTAAGATTCGCATCCCCATGGCGTGGAGACCTAGCCACGGCACACCGTGGCCTATGTCGTTTCTGGAACGTAGCATGGAGTGGCCCCGAAATGCCAAGACCTTGGCCCAAGATACGTTGGATGATATGTGAACCCAAGGTCTTGGCCAAGACCTTGGCTTTCAAGACCTTGGGTTCATCCACGGTTCAATATGCTTGAGATTCTCCGGGGCGTGAAACACCGGACCTGGCGGATTCTCCGTTTTGGTACCATCGCTTTGGCGAGGAACCCTCCATCGAGTCGAGTCGAACAGCCCTAGCGCTATTCCTAAGACCTTTCATGGGGTGAGACACTTGGAGGACCACTCATTTTAATGCAATCATTGGTGGGGCACTCTGAGACTCTGAATTGTTCTGCAGTGTTTCTTCGACATCGGAATTTGCTCAGACTAGGAAATGCACCCAAATGTGTTCCAACCCCATTCCGGGAATGATTCAGGGGCATGGTCGAGAATGCGTTGATGTTGGTGTAAAGGTTTCAGCCCTTGCCATGCTGCTGATCTTTGAGACCTTCGTGACTGAGGTGCCTCCCACTGGCTCGGCAAACTTCTTCACTATCGAGTTTGGATACAACGAGGTGGGATGGATGAAAAACGGACAGTTCCAACCGGTCGGCTGGGGGCGCCCCAGCCGGCTTGTATTGATGTGTTTTTTTGGAGGGAGCATCTGTATCCAAAGGTGCATACAGTGCATACAAACAGACAAAAACCTATACTTGCGAGACCACAAAAGCTGCCTCGTTTATATATATATACATATACTGTATATGAATGCATAATAAATCAACATAACTTCATGAGTCCCTTTTTCACTAGATGAGCACCCGCTCTTGTCTTTAAGGCTACTTGGTGCGGGTGTTGGCTGTGTCCAAATTGGACAAGATAAAACAAGATATCAGTCAAATGAACATCAACTGCAATTCCTATATCAATTCCTCATGTTTTTCGCCCCTGCGGCAAAAAGCCACTGATTAACATGGGCGAAAGCTGGAGAAAGAAGGAGCTGCAGAAGCTCATTTTGAGACTGACCAAGCCTCAGGATATGGAAGAGAACCGCTTGGAAGCCGGCACCGCCGCGGCGCCCACCGTGCAGCGCTTGATCAACGGCGTGGGTGGCCTCGGACTGCCAGGGGACCGACTTGTTCAGTCCCGACGTGGATTTCTCCCCTGGTGTTGGGAATGGAGGACCGGAACCGTCAAGGATCTTCCCTTCTCCCCACGTTTGTTCTTTCCGGGTTTGGGGTCTGAGAAGTACCGCATGGTCCGAGGCCATTACCTACACCACCAGCATTATCGCCCTGGCGGTGGATATTACCTTCAGCGTCCGGACCATCACGCCGCCCGGTCGCGTGAGGGCGTGGCAGGTGGGGCGCGATGCCCTCAGTGACCAGTGGCAGGTGCGGTTCGGGGCGATCGTAGTTGCGATGTCCTGTGTAATTAAGGCAGTGTCTAGGGGATCGTTTAATTGATTTTAGATAATTGTATTGTTCCGTAGTGTTTTGCAGGTCCCTTCAGCAAACATTGATTAATCTGGCAACATTTGGTCTTAATTTCACATCTGTGAAAGGCTAGCTTGTTTGCCGTCCGAGGCTACCAGATCTAGCTGGACATGTTCCTTTCAGAGGATCCAATCTGTAGATGTTTCCCTGACAGGTTTTCGGCTCGGATCGCCCGACGGCAGTCCAGCGACCTCACACCGCCTCGCCCCGACAGCGTGTGAGGGTCCAAAAGGGCACTATCGTGGAGGAACTGCACAGGGAGAGCGAAAACAGAGAAAGGGGTCTCCCATGGGTTCCCATCGTGTTTGAGGTGTTTTTGTCACCGGAGTGATGCTCAGTGACTCTTTTCCGTCAAAGAGATGCCATTCGTGTTCGGCGAGACGAGCGGTTTTGACAGCGGTTTCGTCGTGAAAAGAGTCGATGCATTGAGGCCCCTCCCCGCTCGACTGAGGAACATCCCAGAGGGTGGCGGCCTGGTGATCATTGGGCCCCTGGGCGGGAACTGAAACGGCGAGACGAGACTCGAGACGAAGTGCGGAGTGGCGAAGCTGCATGGCCACGGGACATTTGATGAGAGATTCCCTGAGGTGCACCCTTGCCGAGAAAATATCTATAAATGCCTTCAAGGCAGTCGTGTCTTTTCGTGATGAATCAGTCGTAGCGGTTTCTGCCGGAGCGAGCGCTCATTGACCCAGGCAGTCAAGGAACGACCTAGGTAGTCAACTCTGACCACGACTGCTTTCTGTAAAAGCATCCCAGCCAATTCTGCCACGTGTTGTTTGGAACAGTCCATGTTGCGGAATGGGCATCATTTCACATGGGACATCCTGAACTTCAGCGAAAGCAATGGGTCGAGCATTCTAGATGGGCGAACACGTGCAAGATGGACTGTTCCATCCACACCCTGCTCAGCAGTGCCACAAAAACTGGGAACATCTGCAAACTGGGAACATCTCCAATAAGAAGCCCTTTACACAATTCCGTGAAGCGTTCCCTCGGCTTCGAGGCCTCCGAACTTCCTCTTCAACACCTACTGCCAGCCGAAGCCCGCGACCGACTATCCGGACTGCCACCGACTATCCGGACGAGTCATGGCTGACAACAGGTTTGAAAGGTAACGGAGGTGATGGATGTCTATAATTGAGTTTATGATGTTTGTGTTCAACATCCAACTCTTACAGGCACAGGGAGTCAACCTTACCTGTGCACGCATGCAGTAGATTTGCACACCAGATCGCTCATTTGGCTATTTCTTTGGCCTCCTGAATTATGTTGGGGCGCGAATCTTCCCAGCGCTGAATGTTTGCAGCACTGTAAAGAGCATGATGTCACTCTCCTGCACTTTAAGAGTTTTTGGCAGGAGCTGCCCTACGATTCTACTTGCCTCTACATGCCCATCACAGCCACTGGAGAGCCCAAGGCAGCAGCTTTTGCACCAGGATCAACACATGTAGGTGGAGCCAAGAACTGCTCAAGAAATCCTCCTCCGTGGTCACCCGGCCAGAATCCCCATCAACTAGGTACATCTTCAGTGGTTCATGATGTTGAAGATGGTTTCACTCTGTAAAATGGGGGGTTCCACCCTCACCCTAAAACGTTTTAGAGTCTGCCCCCTCAAGGGGGTCAGGGGGTCATTTTGCAGAGAAGACGTGCATTTGTGCGTGAACGTTGGGACCTTCAAATTACAGGACCTGTGGGGGTTGGGAGCGCCGCTTTACATCTGTAATTTGGCTATCCGGACCCCCCCGTGTGGAAACTGACACGGGATTGTTTCAACAATTTCATAGCTAAGACCCCATGTTTCGAAAGACGCATCGACACATCATTCATCATTCCTCAATTGTGTCCTTTGTCCTGGTGCCAAGTTCTTGGGGAGGCCGGCCCAAAGAACTTCCCCCCTAAGCACTCAACGGACCGTGCCGTTCGACCGTTCTGATGGATCGAACGCCGAGATCGAAACGACGCGCCCGTGTCGAAGCACCGTTGAAGCAGGGGGAGACGTACTGAGACTGAACTTCAGCTGCTTGGAGGGTTCGAGAAAGTTCAAGACAAACCATGACAAAACCATGAAATCAAGCAAACTACATATTTAGAAACATAGAAAACCATGGCTACCCCCTTGTGGAAATTATTCCAGGGTGGGGGTATGTGAGCTAAATAATTTTTGCAGAATAATTTGGAATTTGGAGGATACATCGAGGTGGGGGTTCCAGGGACCTCCAAAATAATAAACAGCTATCACTCAGAGGACTTGAAATAATTAGGAACTCCATTGGAACTTCCATGCACTTGACATAATTAGGATACATTGGTGACCATTGTAACTTCCATGCACTCAAAATAATTTCGCTCAAAGAATGGGCATCACCGGTTGTACCAGCTGGATTAGATTCCAGGGCTAGAGCCTGCTGGCTTTAGCCAGCTAGGAGTTTTATTGTGTGCAGCCATGAAATTATTTCACCTAGTCGAGACTAGACAAAGTAATTTTCTCTGGGGGTATGTCAAGGTACCCAAAATACTTTTTTAATTATTTGAGGTGGGGGACCAGGGGGGGGTACCCCCTAGGGAGTCCCCGTAGAAAACCAGTACTGGTTCCAGTGATCTCATTGGGAGACCAAAGGATCATATGTGAGAAAACTGTTGAGTTTTTTTGCGCACTTGTAGTGCGCAGTTTTCCACTCTTTGCCCAGAAACTCGGCGCGACCACATCGTGCTTGTTGCGGTCAGATCGAGATCGTTGCGGGTCCCAATGGCATCCCCGCCCAGCGTTACCAGCTTCTTGGCCTGCTGTGTTAACACCAAAGCAGCTTTGAGATACTTCAAGTGACGCAGAGGTTTGTGTTCAGGCCAGGGATCTAGAAAAGAAACCAACATGCTGTGGGGACGGGGACGGGGGCGCCCTACACTTACATCAAACTCCTCGAGTTCTATTCTTATGCAAGGGGCCATGTTCCTTTTGACTCTGAATCTCCTCATGGTGTCTATTTCTGAAAGGGGATGCTTTGTGTTTGGGGGTGAATATTCAGAAACATTTCATGAGCAAATCGGGCATATTTGGAGTTGGAAGTCTCAGATGTTGCACGTGGGGTCAGTCAGGTGTCCATGTTGTGTACTGTCCTTAATTATCGTTCACATGACATGTCGCCAGCAAAACATCATAAGACCAGTTCAAGACTTTGGTGAAGGCTGGTGACATTTAAGAACGCTCACGTACCCTAACTTCTGACCTGTATTTTCAGGTGGTCTGGTGGTCGTTCTGGTGGTCGTTCTCCTACCCGACTGCTCAGGTTCTCCCTTGCAGCCCAAAACCCACCGCAGGCGCCATGTTTTTTTCTCACGCGACGAAACGCCGCAACTCCTGACGAAAGGGGGCTCTTATATAATAGATACTAGGGGCAAGGACGCTACTAGGGGCTCCTGGCATCGCTACTAGTTACTAGGAGCAAGGAAGCTACAAGGAGCAAGGACTTCTTTTAGTTTTCGGGTTTGTTTGTTTTTTTTCCGCAGAAACGGAAGGAAGCACGTTTGAGTAGGAAACCAGTCGGTTTGGGTATGTTTGCCAAAAGAGCTCCCATTGCGGTGGTGTGCGCAGCTATACAAGCATCCTCAGACTTAGTCGCGCGAGGTCATTTTTGGGAGTCTCAAAGTACTCACAAAATCATATGTGCGTCTCTATCAATACATGCCCAAAAGAATGAGGAATGTAGATCAAGGAATGTAGAGGAGAGAGAAGTAGTAGTGGAGGTCTAGCAATGTGGCTTCCCATAAATAGACCAAAACCATCCAAAACGATATATAAGAGGCCCCACGGGTCCTCGACCCTCTAAACCAATAAACACACTCCTGGTATGGGTCTTGAAAGACATCGAATGACGGTCCCTTTGATTTGCTCCATTTTGACATGCTACGCCTCATTGACAATCTTTGGACATCCTTCCAGAATCACACCGCTCGAGCCTCGAGCTCACCACTTGAGACCAACCAGAAAGGATTGTTGCGATCATGGCACGATCTGATAGGATTTTGCGAGGCTCCAACCAGAAGCATTGAATCCATCATGGCACGAACTCCGCATCCTTTTTTCCAAACTGTTTCCCCATCAGGTGGTCTCCCTTGCAGAAGCTGGGATTTGGACCTTCCTCTCCTACAGCCTGGTTGGGGAAGCCCAGATGAGCCGGTGAGGTCGTTAGGGTGCGTTTGTGCACGGGAGAAGCGGCAAAACAACAGAAGCAGTGCAAAAGATGACCAAGATGACTGCAGAGGATTGTGAATGGCCTTTGGACTGAAAGTGCTGAAAGTGAATGGCCTTTGAGGATTTTGAGGTATGCCGAAGTCAGGATTGCTGTTTGGTTACAGGTATTCAAAGCATTCCAGACATTCGTAGCAAATATCTCTTTGGATGCAAGATGATGCAAGTGATCCGTATGTTATGGATAGTTGATTCAGAAGCAATCATTTTGAGGATGAACATGTTCTGATTGACCACTGCCTGGAACTCAAAGCATCTCTAGACTCCTAGATATCACACGTTGGTTCATGGAGAGAAAGATATTTCAGCCTTAGCCATGTTAAAATCCACATCCCACCAAAAGCGCACAAGACCCGACTGAAACTGTTTTTTTGGTCTTACGAAAACAGGTTCATTCAATTTCACTCATATTGACTTTTGTTTGGAGTTCAGCAATGTATACTGTATTTGATTATACTTGTACCTTGATTGAGAAATGGTCATTGGGAAGTCACGCTGTTTATGACTCCTTGGGAAGTCACGGGATCAAGGGAATAGCTCTCCAGTCTGTCATTGACCCATCTTCTTTTGATGAGGGAACCGACAATTGTCATGGAAGATATGGCATGGATGCAATCCACCTTCCAGTGCAGTATCCGTCATCCCTCAGCCTCAGTGGATTCTGAATGACTCTGTTGAACAAAAACTGGTTAGTTGCAGGGTGGAGACCATCGCTATTGGGTTGGAGGCCATCGCTTTTAGGTTGGAGGCCATTCCTATTGGTTGCTGGGTGGATCTACGCGTTGGGAGGTCCATTCGATCCCCGATCCAGTACCCACACGCTTCCACTCTCCAAGATCTCGGAAGCCATCGTCTTGGACCAGAACACCACGGTGCCCAGCTACGCAGTGGCACGGTCCATGGCCGGGCCCACAGCTGTGCGTGCGATGGGTGGAAGTGGGGATGTTGACAGTGAGAACTGCGATGAATAGACTGCGCCAAGTCCCTTTTGACAAGCTCTTGACGGAGCGTCTCCCACATTAAACAGAAAACACCAGGCTGACACCGGGTCACAATGGAAGGATGTGTCCACCATGTTTTGCATCGAGTGGTTTAGGGTCGGGGAGAACTGTTCGAGCTTTTGGGAAGATTCAGCCAGCGCCTTGTCAAACCGGTGACGATCGGAGAGAATGGAGTGCGTGCAAGACCATTGTCCTCTACCAAGTAGATCAGTTCCGCTTCAATGCATGCTTTCGGGTATTCTACATAATCACTATACGTCATATATTTACATATGATATGTTGTTTCCTAGGTTCTACTCGTAGCGTTTACAAATTTGTTGAAATCCCATCCTTGGTTTACTGACCTTTGCTTTTCTGGTGGCTTTTCATATCTTAAGAAGCTTGGTTTGCACAAGTGAGGTTTGCCTTTTATTCAAAGAACCGGGATTGCCTGCAGGTTGTTGGGAAGGTAATCATATATGCTGCATCAATGTTGCATGTGTTGATCTACTCGGTGTCGCTAGTAGTGTTATATTCACTTGAAAGCGAGGCCACAATTCCTTCTGCAGTTTCCACTGTGAAGATTTTCTCTCCTTCCCTCCAGAGCAACACTTGCAACACATCCAGTTGGGCACATGTCAGGTGTCGGCGGGCTTGGTGATGTGGCCCAAAAAGGAGTGTGACTTCATCACCCTGGAGGTGCCAAGTGCCCGGAGTCCATGTGTTTTTACCACTTTTGGGATCCAAGGATATCCAAGGTATTAGGAGGAGAGAGTTTGGTAGAGGACGGGAAGACAGGACGCTTTTCTTTGAGGTGTATTGATCTCTTTGGTGGATCTGTTGAATGGGATGATATTGGATCCTGCTTCACAAACTTGACTGGACCGAATGAGCTAAAGCTCTAAAGTTATATAGATTTGTTGACCTGTGAGGGACCTGAGAAAAAGATAGAACAAAAAGTCAAACAAGTCACTTCCCTCTAGGCCCCAATACTTTGGACACCCCTCGTCGCTGGATTCGGAAATTCACCGGAATCGAGGGGGCCTGGTGATTCATTCACCCCAATCGTTTGTTTTGGAAGGACGTTCAAGCCCGACGCCACGAAAGTACAGTAGAAGAAGATTTGCTGATTCAAGTGAAACTTTGTTGGTAAACAACTGCAAGACGCAAGAAACCACAGCAAGCAACCTTGTGGTTGTTTGTTGTACATGCCTTTTTGATTGCTTTTCTTGTTTGCCTTGCGTTTTCCAGTTCGGGTGTGATTTTGATTCCCTGTTAATTAGTGTTTTTAAGTTTCAATGTCATAGCCTCCTCAACCATTGACAAGGCCTGCAGCTTCGATGAAGCACCTAAGAACATGACGATACGTCGCAGGCACGTTCCATCGACGACACCTTGCCCGAGACCTTCTGCGACTTCGAGCATTGGCAGTTCTACCCACCAAGGCGACGGCCCGAGGGATCGGGTCACGGTCTGCGAGAAGCTTCGCCGCCACCGGAGAAGACTGGGAAGAAAAGATGAAGAGTGACTGAAGAACTGGTGAAGGGTGTAAAGTGTATTAGGAATGGTGCAGGAGCCTTTCACACTTCGATGTGGTTCCGGTTGTGTTCATGGGCAAGGTCCAATGTAATCGAAAAGGTAGGTGTGGGTTTTCCAAACCATCCGGCAATAGCATTGTGTGGTTCAAAGGAAAAGCAGGTGGTCATCGTATTGTGATGTTTCTTTGTTGTCATTTGTTTTCTTTTCCCAGGAGCTTGTTGGGCGCTGATTGCTGTTTGGACAGATTTGGGGCATCGGGCGTGGAGTACAGCTACTAGGCCATTGGCTTTGGAAATACATAATGTGCCTAATGTGTGCTCCCAGATTGACATGGCTTCACCTGCCTTTGCACCAAACCCGCTCCACGCGCCGTGCCAGGGGCTATCGTGATGACCGTCCGAATCGTTGGGATCCCAACCAGATGCGATGACCCACAGTCCTTGTTCAACGAAGGATATTGATTAAACCATATTAAACCAAGTGACCAGTGGTCCTACGAAGCTATCATGTCAACGATGATCATTCAGTTACCAGCATCATGTTACCAGCTATCACCATCGATGCATCAGTTGCAGCATGCACACTGATAGATTCAGTCATCAATGTTTGTTTTGATTATGCTGATCATGAAGCGTTTGGGACGATTGCATACTTTCTGTTTGCTTGACCTCGCAGCTTCAGAGATGTTTGACCTCGCAGCTTCGACGGTGCCTTCGTTTGATCCGGAAAGCCGTGAAGGGCGCAGACGAGTGGAATAAATCACTCCTGCGGTGTACGGCTGCAGGGCACAGCTCCAGTTCTGCACAGTCCAAGGTGTTTTTTGGGGTCACCCATATTATGGGGCCAGCTCTGCGTTCTGACTAAGGAGTTGCTAAGGCTGGCCAACCAACTGGCAAGCTTCCAAACAAAGTTGGACTCACTTCTCACTTTGCCTTTGATTTGGACATGGTAGCAATGCCATCCTCCAAAGATGTAGACGTGCTCCAAAGATGTAGACGTGCTCCTTCTTACCCGACCCTAGCCCTAACCTGTCGTCCCCCGCAACTCAGCGTGTGACCAGGTCCAACTCAGCTGATCTTCAAGATGCAGCCGGGCACTCGTTGCGCAGAAGCCATTCATGCGCAGGGCACGACGTGCGTCCTGCTCTTTGGGCCAACGATCGTCACGCTGCAGGTCACGTGACCTGCAGCGTGACTCGATGTCTTCACTTGTTTCAAAAGACAGGAAAGTAAGGGAAAACAACAATTTACAACTAAGCTGGATCAGCCAGCATGGTGGGTTGATCTGGGTTGAAGGTCAGCTCCAAGCATGGATCAAGAAGATTCCTATTTTTCGGGGTAAAGCCAGGCAAGCGATGGGTGGCCCAGTCATGGCTGATCATGGGTGGCCCAGTCTTGGTCCTTCTACACGACGGCTGTTGGGTGTCAAGACACAGCCATTTGCATGTCAAACGATGGCTGTTGGGTGACAGGAGCACCCGACGGATCTGGGTGTACCAATTCTGCCGGAGGCTGAACGCCAATGTGGAAACCACCGGGGTTCTCACTGTGCGAGTCCGGGGCGCTGAGCGACGGGCGCGAGAGCGACAGACGGGGCGCCAGACGGGTCTGAGCTGCGGCTGAAGTGAGTGGATAGAGAGCAAAGGATGTCCGACCCGGCGTTTGAGTGTGCCAGCGTTGGAAGCACTGGGCCAATTGGCACTCTTGGTGGAAGAGGCAAAGTGAGTGGACAACTGGACAACTGGATCAAACTGGTCTCCACTTCAAGTTGTGAATGGCAGCCATTCGAATCTTCGGTCCCTTCCGTGAATGGCAGCCATCGGGCGCCCCCGCCCAGGCCCCCGTGGGCTATGTCTTTGATGCCGAGTGTCGTCTGGAATCCAAGTGATTCTGGATGCTGCTTCCTAGACACTCCATGTTTGTCATGTGTTTGTCATTTGTGCCTACATTGACCCCTCAAACCACCCCAATGTACCAGAAGAATTGAGTGATGCAAGTGGCACCAGGTGGAGCAATGATTGAGTTCCAATTTCCTAGGGCCTTAGTCCTATAGGTCCTTGGGGTTGCTTGAGAATGAACCCATGGAATGCGTTAGGCTGCTGGAGTGATCAATTGGTCAGCATTTTCAGGATTTGCATTTAGAGGCTGGATTTCCAGAGTCAATGGAGTCGCTGGGCAAGTCAATCGAAGACATGGAAGACATCTCATTGTTGCTTGCCGTTGGTTTATCGCATGAACCGATAAATCGTTGGATCTCGGGCACCTTGGTTGGCTCCTGAAAATAAGCAGATTTCTCATGATTTCTCGATAAGTCTATAAGGGATGTCAACCTGCCATGGTTTGGTTGGCGAGGGAACTTGAGCCACACCCAAATGAGTTGCCAAGTTCCGCTGGGTGAAGAAGGCGATGTTGGCCTCGTGAGGCCCAACAAGTTTGCCCTTTGAACCAAAGCGCCCCAGTCGCCGACTGTTCATTCTGGCTGCGTTTTGTTGCTAACCATAGTTCTCCAAGCGCATGCTGGTGAAGCAGAAAAAGGCAGTCACACAGAGCTTGCTAGATGTAAACTGGGTACTGTAGTATGCCAGTGATTGGGTAATTACGGTAATTGTAGACTCTTCATTAATCAAAAAAACAACAAGAGGTTTTGCAATCAAGATGCGTTTTTTTTTAAATCAAGAATCTATGCCACTGTCACTACGGTGTTTCCATGTTTCTACTGTCTCGCTGGCAGCAATGAATCCCTTTGTAACACAAATCTCCAATCATTCTACTACTGGTGTGGGTGTGCAAGAGAGTCTTGTTTTTTTTTCTGGTGGCGGGGTCCTTGGACCATGCCCACACCGTGGCTGGGTCTTCCACGCATCCACCCGGAGTTACGGAGCCGCCCCACACCGCTTTCACGCGCGGAAGAAGCGTGGTGTGGTCACACCCGAGAAGCAGTCGTGTCGGGACCCACCGAGGCGTGGTCACGTATCCCTCGTCTCGGATCTTCAACGACTCTGCGGTGCGCCCCCACGGGACCGAGCGGGGGTGGGGGGCGGTTGGGGGAGGTTTTGGGGATTTTTGGGGGGTGGGCCTGGGGGACCCGGACCCAAGTGCTTCAACTTAGAAGATATTGATAATCATATTGATTAACTTATGTAATTGAACTATAACTATAAGTATTCTAACTATATATATATATATATTGAACCGAGAGGTTCCATTGATTGAAGAAGCTCAACTCTGCTCTGACACGTTGAGGATGCGAGGCTCACCGGGCTCACCTTTTGGTTGTTGTGTTTGATAGCGCAGATGTTGTCCTTCTTTGCCCTCGCATCCGAACGCTCTCCCCGAAGTCTTTTTCTGCGAGCACAACATGCACAGTCGCCTGTCTAGCCACCCTTGTCCTCCGACTCTCAATCGGGCTGGTTTTGGGAGTTGGAGCGGTGCCGAAAACACGTTGAAAGACCCCGTGATCGACCATTGTATCAGGCATACTGGCATAACTGTACTACAATTTAACCTCATATAATGGTTTGATAGTTGGTTTGATATATATATATATATAATGTTATATATATAATTATCTAGGATTATCTAGGATGATAGATGAATACCCGATAGTCTTTCGGGCCAGGATTTGGAAAAACACCATGATAAAACTATATTGTATGTCGCATGCCCCGATGTGTGGCCAAAAACCTCGCCAGTTGGATGGAACGCTCCCATCTGTGCACCTGGGCCACAAAACTCGCCGGTTTCAGCGCTGTAAAGCGGGGAAGAACGTGTCGACGTATTCCAAAAGGAACCTGCGAGAAAGACGGAGGTGTCCATGTTCCGTCGACACCTGAACTGGTGATGTGATGTCGAGAACCCGTGGCGGGTCACAGTGGGTGCATTTCATTGTGAAGTATAGTCTATACAGAGTTCAAGGGAAATGAGCAGATTTGAATCGAGGACCCTGAGGCGTCTAGATGCAAAGACAGGTATTCTCGTCGAAGTACGAACCATGAACAGCTGGGTGAAGAGATGACCCAAAACAACACATCCCTAATATCCCTACCAATCGCACAACCAGTCGAAGCACGACAAGGCTGCCAAGGCTAGAATTCGTGTTATTTTTCGCGGCCATGAAAGGATCAGTTGCACAGAGATGTGCATCGTATTGCATGCAGAGATGCGCTATTGCACACAGTAAACATGTTTTTCATTGTTTCTCAAACTCTCGGGCAACCAGAGCAAAATGACTCAAAATCTGAAACACTGGATCAATGGGTTCACCAACAGGGCCACCAGAGGGGTCCCTAGAATTGGTTGGAGTGAATGAATCACACCACCGATGATGAAGTGGTTCAAATGGCGTTAGGTGCACTTCCCTTGATTGACTTGGATGGACATCGGAAGTGTACTGTAGTGAAGTGTTTTTGTTCTTGTTGATTCAGAGCATGACCACTGCAGGGTTCGAAAGCCAAGGCCGGCCAATGTGCCCCTGGATCCGGCCCTTCCGCATACAGCTGCTGGGACCACAATTGAGGTGGAGGGCAATCACCTAGAAGATGAACCCCCAAACCCGTAGGCCTAACAGAGGACACGTCTTCAAACCGTTTAAAACGGGTCCATGTCGGATACAAGTCAAGTCTGAACCTGGACAAAACCTTCCAGCATTGCCCAAAAGTTGTCATTGTCCTCTCAACTTGTAATGATTGGTGAGCATATTGACGTATCGATCTCCCCTCCTGCGCCGTTTTTGCGCTCAAAGGTACCAGCCCTGCAGCCCTGCTTAGTAGGTACTGTAGGTAGGGTCCAAACACTTGCCCGCAGGGTAGTTTATACCTTCTTAGGAGGTATTTGGAGCACATCGGGCAGCTCAAGAAGGATCACTTGTCCTCGCACAGAGTTGCGCCGCCCAGGGTCTCAAGGTCTCAATGTCATGGGATGCCGAAACAGACAAAGCGTGAAGCAGAATCCCTCAGGTCAGGGTGTGCAACTAGGACATACAGATGAGAGATCCGGCTCAAATGGCCTGGACTAGAAGTAATGCCAACAAACAGTCAAAGACACTCCCTGGGACTGGAATATATACCAACATTGATCCCCATACATCAACCACCCCAACTGATCGGTACGTCGGTAAATATGCCAGTCACCTGGATTGTTAGGTATATTTACACAACTAAACCAAATCCATCCAAATCCTTTTGCTTCACAGCTTGGGGCCACAGGGCCACAGTTCATGCAACAAGATTGGAGGAACATGCGGAAGATAGTGCGCAAGAGATGTTTGGGAAGCAAAAACATTGCCCATGGTTGGTTGTTCAACATGATTGTATTGTCACTATTTATTGTCTCCTATGTTTCCGCATAAATCATGTCGTCTCTAACCCTTTTGGTGCTTCCTGTTTACACCCCAGGACTTGCACCTGCTGTCGCCCGCGTTTCTCTCAGATCGGCCCGCCGGAGCAGCGAACCTATGCCCAGCGGTACAAGTGCGGCCTCCGAGCGGAGCGGAGCCGACCCACCGGGTGGGTCCTTGGGGGGTTCAGACTGAGTGGGTCGGAAGCGACCGAAGACCACCGGGGGGGGGGGTTGAACGGTGGAGTCCAACGGGAGGACGAGCTCCCTCCACTTGACGCTGGGAAGTTGATCCAAAAAACAAGGAGCAACTTTGCTGAGCTTTTAAAGAGTCAGTGCATCTTTGGTTTTAGTTGCATGTGTTTGATCAAAGCTTTTGCAGCAACACCTCCAAAAAACAGAACTAACCTAAAAACTCCTAAAAAGCATGTCTAAGCAGCCTTAGATGTACGAAGCCTTCGTCTTCGCTCTCCTATTCGTCCCACGCCAAGTCCTTGGCCGGCTGGTGTGGGGACGCTGAGCTGCCTTGGACGAGACAACGAGGCTCCCGGGATACGGGAGCGGAGCGACGGGTGGAAGGGGAGATGTGAGTGAGGGAGCCAAAGCAAAACAACATGTGTTTTATAAACCAAAAACACATTAGACAAACACAAAAACCTAAGAAATTAGATGCACATAGACATTTATCATGTTCACTTGAACAACATTCGTTTGATGCAGCAAAGACTGGACCCAGACCCTATTGAAAAAGAACACTTTGACATGGAGGGGAGAGGAAGTCTGAAGGATCGAGGAACTCTTCGGAGCTGAGGGCTTTTCAAGCAAGACCAAACGGACAGCATGACACATATGACTATATGACACCTTAATCACCTGAAGGGTCATGAGATGGGAACCTGCCAGTTTTGAGGTGTCTAGCCAGCTGAAGGGGTAGAGGGCCGCAGCCAAGTGAAAGATGAAGAGAAACAGCGAGAAGCAGCCTCTTTCAAGTAAATGTAATTCTCTATTCTTTCGTGGTTGTGAGCCGAAAAGCACTACCGAGGTAAAATAAGCCAAATGCATGGTTTCCTGTTTTTTGTGCAGGTGTCTCGGTATTGCCCCTGATGAGGGGCTAGTCGCTGAGCCGCCAAAGTTCGGGAATCTAGAACATGAGACAAAAGGACAGAATACAGTATTGGACGAACGCTTAGAATATAGTATTGAATTCCAACTGACTGTCCGGGATTCGGTAGATCACTTTTCCACGCCTCGACAGTCTCCAGGCGCAGATCACCTTTGAAGCAGGTCGGGCCCCTACGTTTGCAACAGAGAATCACATCGGGGTGTGGGATTTTGGCTTAGCTTTCCATGGGCTGAAAGTTTAACAAACCAAGTCTATCCAAGTTTGCAGATAGTCTTACAGATTCTAGGGATTGTTGCCAAGATATATTTTTAACTAATAGAACAGGCGTTGTTTCTCAGGGAACCCTCCCCTGGACGAAGTGACTTGCAGACACAATGTTTTGAAGGGGAACGGATGCGGATTGATTCATTCAGGCTGATGAGAATCTTCCTATAGCTGTTGGTTTACACCTTGTGTTTAATCGTTCATGCTGAAAAAACTCGTTGATGAGGATCTTCTTCAGTTCGAGGTATTTCGCACCATCACATGTTCCTCCATTCCATCGGAGCTTCGGAAGTTCTACTGTCCAAAGCCGGAATCTGGAAGACTGCAGAGGAGATGATCGGATTTACTGCACCCGAAGACTCACAGTGGCAGGTCCGTGAATTTCATGGCTGTGGGGCACCAGGTAGGTCGACCGGTTGACCTACCTGGTGTCGGTCGTGAAGACGGCAAATGGGGGACTGGTCGGCTCCAGGTTTGGACCCTTCACCATACAAAAACTGAACAGCATTGGTGCGAACCCAAGTCCTGGATGTTCAATGCAGCGGGATCCATTGCGTCCATCACTGAGTGCTGCAGCCAGGCCTTCAGCTTTTCCAGAGCTACCTGTCCGGAGGCCCAGATGCCCTGCCCATGCGGCCACGCTGCTGCCGCCTGTGAAAAGATAGTGGAAGGCCCAGGTGTTGTTGACATTGGAGGGTACCATTCAGAGTTGTTTCCTCCCTCCAACAGGCACGGAAGTGGACCATAGATATGTACAATAGACCCTTGGAACACAGAAGGAGATCTTACAGGTTTAGTTGATAGGATCCTCAACGAATCATACTTGAGCAACAGAAAAAAGATATATGAGAATCTCAATAATAAGCTGCTTGAAGGGCAGGCTTGGTGTCTTTCGTCCTGTGCAAAACCTAGAATGCACGAAGCAATCATAGCACTCCTTACCTTCAGGGGAGTTCCAACCTGAAGTATATGGTGGGCCCTCCATGGTTATTCATGTTGGGTCCAAGACCCTTTTGTTGGAGAAGCCACTCAAAACAATAATATAGTAAAACAACGAAACACCTGTTCCCTTTTTCCGTGTATCCCTGCACACCTTCACTGTTTTGTTCCACGCAACCAATCGTGACCATAATGTTATATACAATGGCATGCTCATGTTCAAATATATGTCGGAGGAAGTGCTAGTGATGGACTCAGCATGGTGCAGCAAGGTTCCGCTTGGCTGTGCTGCGGAACCCTCCAGTGACACCGGTGCCTTTTCTTGGTTCGTTCGAGCACGGCGCTTCGGGGTTCTTATTCTTCTGAGCTCGTGGAACAGACAAGCCAGCTGATGTTTCATAGACATAATAGACATAGGAAAAAGCACATTGGAGAAAGGACATGTTTGATTGAGTTAGTCCAGCATGCAGGTGGTATTGATCTTGGGATATGTTGATTTGGGGAGCTTGAGCTAAGATCCACTTCTAGGATCTTAAAGGCGAGTGGAATGGACATGGATCTTCACTTAGGCCAGTCTTGTCGGCTGAAGTACCATGTTCTAGGATTGATTGTGCTTGCTTGATCAAGCTTTTGATCCAACTTGAGATAGGAGACTCAGATAGCACGAGGCCAGAGACAGACTACCGGTTGGCACTAGTTGCCCTTCAGCCCTTCAGAAAGAGGGTTTGTGCCCTCCAGATGACAGGCTTATTCTCCATCCGTTACCTGTGCCATTGGTCCGATCATGTCGTACCTGGTCACCCACTGCAGTCTTTTTTGAGATGTTGTTTTGGAAACCATTGTTTGTGCCCTCCCTGTTCTTTGCCTTTAGAAACATGAAATCGCGAGATAGCTTTGGTTCATTGGGATGCCCCTCCAAATCTTCCACAAGGCCAAGGCATGCATGTTTGATAAGGGGCCGGGTTAAGGATCCATTCAAGCAACCATTGGACCTACACGAGGTGTGGCTTGGGGCTGTTTGATCCCTCTCCCCCTTGCCCAGGAGTTCAGTGACTCCAGTGGGTGTATGATATGGTAAAAGAGGCACTTAGACATGAGTACTTCAGGGAGTGTATATTATACTGTATGTGTATGTGTATATATATATAGAGAGAGATGATATGAGCAAGATCAGTAGACCTGTCACCTGGTCACCTGCAGGTGTAAGAAGGGTTGAAGATCTATTCACCCATACCATGGCTCATTGGCAACCAAGGAGTACAACTACTTCCTGCTGGAGTACAATGGTGAGGCCAACTGCGAAATGGTCCGCCTTACCTGCTAACCAATCATGGGAGTTAATACTCAGCCAGAGAAGCTAAGTTTCTTTGTCAAAAAACGAGCCAACATTAGAACAGTCATCGGAGCAAATTCATCACTCTTGACCGCGATTCTTGATCTGACAACCATCCCTAGGAAGAGGCTTATATACTTATTTTACATGACAGTTTAGCAGTTTAACATAGCCATCAGACAATGGATACTGTCGCTCAACATGCTTCCATATGGCAAGTTCTTACCAATTTGGGGTTCATGGGGTGCTTGCAGACCTCGAGTTCGGACGGAAAAAAGAGACAGCATTTGCACATCACGTGCCAGGCTTCGCTGCCCTTCCCTGGTGTGAACATTTGGGTGCGGGACTGCAGTGAGGGAAGAGGCTTCACAACCTTGAGTGCCAAGATCTTGCTTTTTCTGCCCTGGACAATCAAATTGCTTCACGGCAAGGGGACCAGATCATTTTCCCAAAGAGGACAGGCGTTCTTTGATGGGTCCCCATTATCAAGTGGCTTCCACCAGTCAGCCTGGGTCTTATAGTGGGCAGCCAGGTGAGGTGAACAGAGTGGGACCAATGACACCCTGTGGCAGTCGTTGGAGACCGTTGGGATTTGCAGCGGATCAGGAGCCCAGTAATGCTCCAAGGAGCCTCGCCACACCAAGGCCTTTGGCGACACCTCCATTTTGCCCACCACCACGGCAGCCTCGCGCGCGGACTATCAGACCCTCAACGAGGTGTGCCATGTCGTCGATGCGACGGCCAATTGCCGAGGGCAAGCGGCACCAGCTTAGAATGTCCTAAGTCATACCGGTTAGACAAAGATTGACCAGACAGACAATGTTGGGATGTTGGCAAAAAAGGTCAGCATGATCAGCTGTCAGCGCCGGCATCACCCACGGCTGTCATTGTCCGAAAGGGTCGAAACGGGCGCTGGACTCTTGGAGTCCAGAACAAGTTAAGCACCCCGAAGTGGAACTTCTGGTGAACACATGTGTTTTGTTGAACATATGTGCATTGTTTAAATTGTTTTGGTTCAGGAATGCATCTCCTGAACACGTTCTTGACACATGCTTCTTTGGTTTTGTGTTCATGTCCAAATCAATGGCACCATGTTGTCATTCATTTTGGTGAAGGGAACCAAGCAAACATTTGGGCTTCGCAATGTGAATGCATCACATATCATCACATGTTTTCCCTATATGCAGTCCACATATCAAATCAAAGCATATTCTTAGTTCTTAATGTCTTGCCGTGTGGTGAATCTACAGTCCCTGCTTTCAAGAAGACTTTCTTGGCTGCTTGGATACTGCCAGGTGACCATCATGTTGAGACCGGTGAATTCGGTCCCCTTTGGCGGGCACTTGAGGCCATCGGTGTTGAGCGGACGCAAAGCAAGTGATGGACGGGAGGAACTGCTGTAGTGACCCCCAAAACAGATAAGACAAAATTTAGGAAAGGATATCGTGATTATCTCAAACATGTAACGTATTAATTGTATGTTTGCAAACCTCGGCTACCTCTTTTGGGGACCACTGCAATAGATTGATATGATACTCACTATGCAAGGTAAGGACAGCTTAAGGATGCCTAAGTGCCTAAGCTAAAATTTGCTGTGGAAAAGCTACTCCCCACAGTTTCCTTGTTTCAGGGCTGTCATGAGAAGTCCTCAAGTTGATGGTGTTTATTCGCTTGCGGGATTAGTACGTGATAAAAACTGTTTGGAGTTAAGTGGCCAGAAAGAATGGTAGGGTGTTGAGTCATATCAAAAACCATCATTTTTCTGCAGAACATTGGAGAGTATGAACCAACAAGACAGTGGTTGAAGGAAAGTCCACCCGAGGATTCGTGCTTGGAATAAGATCTGTCATTGGTTGGGAATGGTTCGGATGCCTAGTCCCACTCCAGAATTCACCCCACCAACCCTCCGGAGTTGAAGGAATCGATTGAAGAACACATTGGTTCCACCTTCTAGAGAACTTATTCCTTTTAATGCACGTCCTTTGTTCTTGTGTTCGAACTCTGAGTTTGAATGGACGATCTATATATGGGACCCTTTGGACATCAGACCCACGACGATCACCGATCACCGCGTCTCGACGGCCTCGCCTCACGACTCGCAGGATCACCGCCCCGAGTGGCTTCACCGTCCCGACGGCCTGCAAAATGACGCTGACGCTGTGCAGCAGCTGGCGACGGGTTGCGGCGGGGAAGCGAGGGGAACAAATCTGCAAGCATCAGAGGTCGGGGGAGAATGTCGGCAAACTGAAGGCCTTGACGGATGGAAGGCTTCACAGTTGGAAACAATGTGGAGCCAATCGCATTGCCCATATCCGAAAGACTTAACAAACAAGGAAACATCGGCAGATGGACGGGGCAAGTTTCTTGTTCTTCAGGAGGTTGCTGGGATTTGCCTGAGTTTTACCCACAAGTTAATGAATGACATTCCAACACTTAAACCATCTTAAACCAACATGCAAGTACCACGATTTTGGTCGCACCGAGATCAACCCGCGTATGATGCCACCAAGATCAACTGGACTCCAGCTTCGGGGTTCGAGCAGGTGAGCAAAGTCCCCGGGGAAACCGACCGGATGGCCTTCGACATCTGGCTGCCTTCAATCCTTTCTCTCCCCCGCCAGGATCAGGATTTAGATCAACATCATCAGAGAGAGTTGTTGAAAGAAACATGCTCTGATATTTCCTCGGGTCTTTGGATTTTGCTGGGCGCAAAAGTGCAAGAATGCCAGAGCTCAGACCACCCGCTTTTCCCTCTACAGATCCACATAGCTAGGTGGAGACCTGGTGGGGTCGCAGGTGGCTTTTGTCCAAGTTGGATTGGATCGACTGGTCCTTGGTGGAAAATGACACCAAACATATCCAAACATGGTTCTGGCAAGGGCATTGGACAACTCTTCAACTCCGGCGTCTGCGGCCTTACTCACGCCTCTCCTAGGAAAGTGCATGAGACGGACATGTGCCTTGGCCGCAGCCAGGCACGTGGGTCTCGCCGTGTCGGGAGATCTCGAATGGAGCTCCGCAATCACGCGAGGTTCTTTTTGTATCTGCCGATGCTTCGTATAGCATGTTAGAAAATGTTAGAAATAAGAAGAGTATAGGTACGGTATAGGTGCAACTAGCAAATATGTGTGAAACCCAGAAAGCTAGTGCTAGTGTGTGTGTTGTCGATTGAAAGCAGACGTAAGCTAATCCAAAACTCGGTCATCTTGGTCTATCATTGGTGTTCGACTTCCTTCATTCTTCTCTCCCACGGTGATTCATACAGCCATATACAACCGTTTTATGCCGGTTTTGCTGGTAGACACATCAACATATGATACCCCGCCAAGCCCAAGGCCCCAAACACAGCCAAGGCCCAACATCTCAGCATACCCGGCGGGCACTCCACGTGTCCGGTGCCCCAAAACGGCTGAGCCATCCGAAGAGGCTGGGGCAAGCTGCTTAAGCCCTCTTGGGGTGGAGGACAACTCTTGTCTTGGGTGGGGTAACGAATGGTAACGATTTGGGTTGTGCATGGTGGGGCGATAGATTTGCCCAAAAGTGATCTATATAGCCTCCTCGAAAGGGTGTTTGCATGTGTTTGCTATACAGTGATCTATATACATATTTGAATGATATCGAGGTCACCGTCATAGCCTGGCTCCACAAACATCCGCAGCGAGAAACCAAAAATCCTAGGTGCCTCCGAAAACTACCCTCCCTCCAACAAACATTGAAGTAGACAATCACCTGTTTGTAGATTAACATTGTCTTTCCAGGGACCATGCCATCCACGTAACCATCATTGTTTTAGGGATGAAGGTACTCGTAGTTCATGACAAATGGAGTTCAGCCGAGAGACTCGGGTGCCATGTGTCTTTTGCGATTGATGGTGTGCTTTGCTCAGTCTCAAGGCTTCGGCTGTTCGTGACAACACCATTTCTTTGAAATGAGGTGAAGTTTGGAGAGTGTATTTCTTTGAATCAGAAGGATCTGACCCAGGCATACCACCAACTACATGGCCCCTATACTACATGGCATATCGAATTATTCCTGGGTATGTCAAGATAGGGGGGTCTAAGGCAGGGACCCTCCAACTACTTTGGGCTGAACATTCGGCTCCACAACTGGGGATGCCTTCGGCTCCACTGCTTCGTTCGTTCTTCACTCTGTGGGCCCTCGCTGAGTTCCAAGTCTTGCAGTGGGCGGAGTTCTTGTGCGACGCCCAGTCGACACGTGGTATGCGCACTGGTGTTTTGGTTCCCTCAATCCGACAGACTCCCTGAATTCATCATGGAGATGGAACATTGGGCGACCAAGAGGCCCCGCCACGGCGATCATTTTCCGGATACAAAACAGGTGCTTGTCCACTTCCAAGATGATTTCAGGGAGTGTGGTGGCAGATCGATTGTCCTACATGCTATTTTTCGAGGTTGCAACTCACTTGCACGCCAGCAGCTCCCCGCTTTAGTGTTCAGCATCATGTTCAAAGCCTGACGAGGGAGGAAGGAGAGTGATCGCCGCTGTTTCAGAGTAGATGGCACAACACATGGTAGATGTTCCTAGAACGTGGGTTTGAGAACCATGTCTTGGAATTTGGCGATCTACTTGGACACCACTAATCATAAGAGTGCCCAGATTGCCCATCCTAACATTGGCAGCCCGAAACGCATGATTCCCTAGCCGCAAATACATGCAAATGCATCTTGAATCGCCTGGATGATGTCGATGATATGTTGAATCACATGGCTTGTATTCGCCCATCAGCACACCAGAGGCAACAAAAATGCCCAAGTTTGTGGCATACCTCGTGGTGCTGCAGTTTCTTTGACTTCAGGATTCACTGCGTTCACCCATCGATTCACCCATCATTCACCCATCATAGTTAGATACTGCAACATACTCAACTTCGACGATCCATGTATCCATGTAAGATCATGTAAATATAGTTTTTTCAGGATGTTGCTTCAATGCACCCAACACATGTTCGATATGTTTTCGATCTTTTTCGCATCCTGTCTTCGCATCTTCCCACATGGCCGTAGGGACAGCGACCTCACCTGTGAGGGTGATCAGACGCCCTCGAGCCGTGGGAGGCGGCCTGCGAAGACGGCATTGGAGTCAAAAGCAAAGACGCCTTGAAAGCATGTAGGTTATTATAATAATGTAGGTTGATGTTGACCATGTGACAGGGGTCTTGAGTTTTGTCGTTTCAAGTCATTTCATTTGAGCGTTTACCAGAACAACATGCGTCATATGCTGTTGATATCTTCTGATGTGTTTTAGTTATTTATATATATATTATTTTAATTGTATTTTATTGTCATAGTCATACCTTGATATTTGCAAACGTGCCTTGTGGTGCTTTGTAGTTCAAGCTGTGTGCGCAGTGGCATGTGTCGGTGGGGATACACGGATAGGACTGAGTTCCTCACTGACTCGGAAGCTCCAAAGTACGGTCGACATGACGGCTTTATCTATTACATAGGTGTAACCGAGCGCACCCCAGTGACCACAGCGTTTCAATGTGGCTTGACGTTCACCTGATGTGACTTAACCCTCCTTGAATGTGACTTACAAAAACCATTTCGCAGTGTTTCCAACCAGGTCGATGTGACTTGGTGACTTGACACATGTTGAGGAGACTGAAATACAACTCGTCCGGTTGTAGTAGGTCTTGTTCATATTTGGAAGGTCAAACATGTCAGGGTGGCAGGAATCCATATCGATGAGTGCAGTGGAGTCTTAGGGATGCTGCAGTGTAGGGGGAAAGATCTGTCTTTCTTGGTTTTGGAGTTCAGCTTGGTGAATTATAGAAAACATATTTAAAAAAAAAAACTGTTGTTTGTGTTCGAGAAGGTATACGGTAATTATATGAGACATTGATAGTAGCCAAGTGCACCCTTTTGGTGAGAGTATAGCCCATGCCCATTCTTTTGGTCGCAAGCTCGGTGCGATGTGGTCGCAATCGCCCTCAAAGCGACGTGGCACAACGGCTAGTGCCACGGCTCATTCTGGACATCGGCATGAGGGAAGTGCCTTTGTCTCAAACTAAGCGGGGTATATAGGTCCTAGATGCTTCAGAATACTGCAGATAACACAGTGATATCACTTAATTAGCAGTAACATTTATATCTCTGAGCCATTTCCTGGACGATACGATTCTTTGGCTTTCCAGCTGCTTTGGCAGGTTGCAGCTGTTGCGAAATAGCAAGTACATGCAAGGGCAGACCCTCTACGTGATGACGCTGCTGGTCCGGGACACCCAAAACGCTGCTGGTTTGCGGATGCGGAGGGTCCCTAGTTCCGCTGTGAGTCGCCATGTTTCCGGGTCCTGCAGGACAACACCAGAAGCTTCCGGTGCTGTTTGGGTCACGATTGCCTGCGATGTGGAATCTGCACTGAATCCAGATGGGTGTGTCTGAGAATTCACCCTTCTGAACCCTCCAAAAGCCATTGAATTGAGATCAGTGAGATCAGACAGACCACCGACATCTACGTACCAACTCTCCTTGGGTTCGCCAGGTGTCCAAGGAAAATCGACCACCCGACTCTCGCCCCCCCCGATGTTTCTGGTGTGCTTTGCCAGCACCGCGCGCTTGGCGCGCAGGTGGTGAACCCACAGACCACCTCTGCCGTGCCCGAAGACTGGCATGTGCAGTCCTATTCAGATTTGCGCCTCGGCGGTGGTTCGCACAAGGAGATGATTTGTTCGGGAACGGCAAGCAAATTTGGAACGACCCGATGGTCTCCGAACACCCTTGGCGATACCTAGTATGAGGGATCTCTAGTTTGGATCACCCACCACCCAAAAGATGTTATTTTCCCATCAAGACGGAGGTCAAAAGGGCTTACCTAGGTCTACGTATCGATACACTGAGCAACATCCAAACCCATTGCCAGTTGCGAACGCCCGAGGTCGGGACTGTTTGGAAGAGGGAACAAAAAAGTATCAAAGAGTACCAGAACCAGGGACAATCTAATTACAGGAAATCTCATAATTAGTGTTGGGTGTGAAAACCAGTCAGGGTTTCCTGCACATTTTCCCTCAAACCATTCATGGACAGAGTAAGACCCTGGGTGTATGCATTGGTTCTTATATATAATATAACGTTAGGAAGGCTACTGGCTAGACCATATGATGGCTGCATGAAGCCTCAAAAACGTTAGATGTTTAGTTCGGTTCGTCTCACCCAGATCATGTGGGCATGACATGGTTAGATTTGCCTGGTCTATTTGGATGTCCCTATTTGGAGTTAAACCCCGTTTGAGATCTAAGCGCCTGAACCTGCTTAATTAAGTGATTGTGGATGCACATAGGAGAGGATTCTGTTCAGAATTTGGGTGTTTACATAGGAGAGGATTCTGTCCGTTTCCCTTCCTCTTTTGATGGTCCTGCCAGACCTTTTCTCATGCATTCTATAGATTCTATTCTATAGATCTATTTACGCATTCTGCTCTGGCTCTCCTGGTGCCTGGAATTTGAATATGATAATCTGAGAAGACGAGAATCTGTGCATGGCGCCTTGTTGGCCCCTACAAAGAAACTCCAAATATCTAAGGCCGCAGCCCGTGCATGTCTTTTGCTGTTGGTAGCGTCCTTTTGCACTTGATAAAGCTTTGCCCTTCCAAGAAGCAGGGTCACAGTTTATGAAGTAGAGTTAGATGTGTGACACATGTTCTTTTAGTGGTTATTGATGCAATTGTTATTTGTTTTCATGTTCTTTGACGTCGACAAAGCCATTCTGCATGTCACGACACAAGTGCTGCGCCGGAAGAACGGCATGATAATGCTGGCCTTCCCAGAGCACAATCACACATGTGTTCATGGCAGGAAAATCCCCTGTGTTCAAGCAATTGTTCGAAAAAGAATTCGACATGCGCTGCGTGCGCCCAGGACTGTGAACAACATTATTGATGAGAGCTACATCCCGGGGTTCGTGGTAAACACCGCCGTGCAGGACCCGGGACGTTCGTGCAAGAGGTTGAACAGACTGTGGGGACGAAGCCTGACAGTGAACTTGGGCTTCATGGACCGAATTTTGCAAGGGGAGGTGGTGTGTTCTTTTTTGCGAAGTGTCCACGTGTGTTTCAGGTGTGGGCCAAAGTCAAACTAGGAGCAGCCATGTGACTATGTATTACAATATTATGTGATATATGACATTTCATTACGTCCATTTCAACATCAGTTTCAATGATATTATACTATAATTATGCGTGTATATATATATATATATTTACATACTTAGGGTATCTTAGGGTGCCAGTAACCCCTGGTGAAGTTGAAAGATAGAGCTGCTAGTCCCTGGGTCCTATTTTCTCAAGACATCCATACAGGATCCCTTGACTCCGCCTTTTTCAGCCTCTCTTTGGACCGCGGTCCTGGCCAGTCCTTCGCCTATTTGAAGCCGGAATCGACCAACGCCTTGGTGAAGCAGAGGTGGGAACCACTGACGATCATTGGGGCAACAGGTGGTTTCGGGAGGCTTCGGTGTCAGGGGAGTTCGGGGTTTGGGGGGTGCCTATGCGTGCGTGATTTTTGTGGAAGGAAACACATGGAAAAGCATGTATAGGCCCAAAGAATCCCAAAGGAGTCTTTGACATTCTTGGGGCATTTTGGGATGGCTTTAAATCCTGACAAATAATGATATCAATCGATCCGGGTTTCGAGGATCCTAAGGTTTTGAGACCTTCGTTATTAACATGCTTGGTCTTTGGAGGCCCCGCTCAAAAAACAACAAAACATGGGCAGATCCTCATGCGACTGTACAGTCGGCAGTCTACAGTCTACAGCTTCCAACGGGGCAACCCCAAAAGCAAGTTGCTTCTGTTCTTTGAGATGTTCTTGCAAGCAAGCAATAATTATAGAATATTATAGGGTGCATGTTTTTGAGCTCGGAGGCTCATTTAAAGAACAGTTACCCATTCGAATGTGTTTCACGAGTTTTTCTGTAGTGCATTCTGCCCTGGGCCTGCTAAAAGCCTACATAGCTACATCTTAAATCTCCACCATTACTGATGGTTCAGCCAGCCAGATGGGTCGAACAGGCTGGACTTTAACCTGTCCTTCCCAGACACCGTGGCCCGAAGCTTCAGACCACGGGGCGGAGGGCGGACTCGCCTCGCCTTGCCTTGCCGTGCTTCTTCTTCGATTCTTGTGCAGATAACTGTGAAGCCGATGGGTACCCATCAACGTGGAAAACTGTGAAGCCGTCCGGAAAAGTGGAAAACTTTGTGGAAACGTATGAGGAATGTATCCATCAAGGGAAAGAGAGACCTGTCAGTGTCAGAGGGCTTGGTTTGGTAATGATAATGTATTCCTGAATTAAGCTTCCCAAAAAGGGAGACTTACAGTATAACTCATTACACGGCACGTATTTGAGGCATAGTGATGAATATTAAATATCACCACATTAGACACACCAGTTTCAAAAACCCCTTGCTCCCCAGCAGTAACATCCAAATTTAAAGACTTCAGAGTCTTGACCCGCTAGAGATGCAGCAATCATTGATCATCAGCTCATTGCTTTACGCCTTTTCCCTTCTCTTCTCTTCCTTCATGGCGCCGGTCTCACGCCACCGAAACCCCTCCTTCAACGCCCGATCACTGTCACCCCCCGAGGCCATTGGAGATCGGATCCAAATCGTCGCGCCGGTGTCCTACTTGTTCAGCGATCCCGGCGATCGCCGCTCGGCAGCGGAGCGGGAGCGGAGCACGCGCCGCGGCGCTGCCTTGGTCGGGGGAAGTCTGGAGGGGTCAGAGCTCGTCCATCGCCAGGAGTTCATTTCCTGATGTCCTTGTTGTAAACGAAAGGATCCCATTGAAATAGATCTGCAGTGCAAGCATGTGTCTTCAAAGCTGTTGTATAGGGTTTCCATGAGTTTCCATTATCTCCTGTTGACCCTCCCATTCCTTTTCAGATTGGTGAACATATCGAGAAGCCACGCATTCGTTTAACGTCAGAACTGGAGAGATCTGAATTAAGACCAACGTCTGAAGTTGTTTTCGGAGCATGGGAGTTTGGGTCTACAGTGACTAAAGTTGACGCGTCAAATGATAAGATCGAACAGGACAGCCTAATCACACCCAAACATCACCAAGCCTTGGCAATGTTGAGAAAGCCACCACAAAGGAGAACCCGGGGAGAGATGCTGGGAGATGGAGTCTGAAACCATCGAAGGGATGGACCAGTTCTCGCAGTGTGCTTTCTTTCGGATCCTATTTGTGTTGTGTGTGTGTGTTGGAAGCAGACCACCAACTGGAAGCGGCTCAGAGTCGACTCATGTCATTTGATGTCCATGCTTCCAGAGGCTGATATCCAGCCAAAACAGATACTGCATCCATCAGATGAGGTGCACGTTTGCTCAGTTGCAGGCTACAGACTGGCATGGCCGCATGACCGATTCACATCACAGTTCAAGAAGATGTCAGTTGCGCACAGCAGGAAGTGCCAAAACGCTATTATGTTTTTGTGGGATACCCTCTTGTTTCCTTCTCCCCAAAACCCAAACCTCGCACACCGGTCTCCACCTGCCCAAGGATTCCATGGGTTTTCCTAAAGCCATGCTATCCACGTACTTAATCATGACGCTTCATGACAGTCATTAGTAGCATGGCTTTGCAGGCTAGTTCATGACAGTTCTGGAGTGCAGCCAAGAGTTCATCCGTTCAGGGGTTTTCGATCATCCTTTCAGGTCGCTCCGACTCGTCCGACTCGGTCGGATCGCACCTCTGAGGGGCTCGCCCTCGTCGTGCCCAGCCTCGCCCAGGCCGCTGTCCTCAGTACGTCTTCTTGGACGGTGCGATGCGGAAGACCATCCCCACTTGCAGTGCTCAGCTCGGAAGATGGCCGAAGGGCCGAAGGATGGGCACACCATGAGAGCGGAAAAGGAGGGACGAGAGGAGAGAAGGCTGAGGAGGCTGTGATTCAAGAAAGGACCATGTTCCTAGCGGAATGTCGATTGTAATGACGGGTACGCTTTCAAGCATAGCAGAGGCTACGAAGACTGATAGTGCATGGTGGGCCTCTCCCTTTCTGGAGAGGGTGTCCGACCACTTGTGGAAAGATGGATCATAGTCATAGTCATAGTCATACTATTTCCTGCTGAGTTGAAAGAGTAGCACGATGTCAGTCGTTTCCACATTCTCGACACACTTTGAGGTGCCAACATCATCAGTTGGCATTTGATGGATGAGTCGGTCCCTCAGTTGGTGAGGCCTAGTTCAAGTTGGTGTGGTACTAAAAACTGCCTTTCAGAAGGCGAAGCGTCATCACAGGCATAGCAAGGTCATGGTCTGAGGCATAGCATGAATGTTTGCACGGTCAGACCGTGCACATGACATGTGTTTGCCAAAGGTGCCGTGTTTGCCACAGAAAGTGATGACTGACTCCTCCAAAGGTCCAAGAGATATTGAACTGAACCATTTGCAGCGTCCAAGAGTCCCCAGTCTTTGTAGCTAAAACCATTTGAGTGAGTCTCAAAACAAGGCGACCCCTCAGCCAAGGGGCTGTAGATGGGTTTTCCATCGGTATCCCTTCTAAGCTTTTCTACGCGAGGTCCATCCCTGCGATGAGCTCTGTGCGCTTCATGGTGCAAGTGCAGTGGCTTGTCCCGCATTTGATGGTGACTGAATGGAGGGGGCATGGCAGTGCCGAAACTTTGGGGGGGGCGAAGATGCCTTAGATGCCTTAGATCTGGAAAGTTGCTTGTGCTTGCAGTTCCATTTCCCAATATTCCAGGATCATGGTCTTGTGATGGTTTTTGTAGTTGGAACCAGCACGCTGAAGGTAGCTCTTTAAACGTGTCCCTGGGAGCTACCCTGAAGGATGATCATTCCAGCATGAAGACGTTGAAAACTGAACACACATGAAGCGGTTCCAAACGTGTCGACTGACTTCCAAACGTGTCGACTGGTCGATCGTTGACCGACCAGCTGCTGTACATATCTTCTCACGGAAGTGCAAAAAAAAACGGACGACCGTCCTGGAGCTACCCAAACCAACCCAAACCCAGAGACCCTAGTAGCTATACCCACCCAAACCCTATAGTAGCTACACTTCCACTCCAGTCCTGAGGAATCCGGTCCCACGGACTCGCCTCGCCAAGGAATCCGCCGATGACGCCCAGCAGTAACCTCTTCCAACTGCGGCAGATTGACGCGAATGGGACTCGAAAGCCCGGGAGCTGAGGGAGACCAGGGTCACAGGCTGGCTTCAGAGCTTCGCTGGCTAAGGAAGGGCGGATGAAGAGGATGAAGGTATAGGAAGCACATGAAAATCATGAAAGTGAAAGCACCATTGTCATGTCACTCTGTGATGCTTTGTGTGTAATACATCATGATACATCGAAAAGCTGGAAAGGATTTTCTGGAATACGACAGCTGTTTAGCAGCCATTTGTTTGTCCATGACAAGGCTGGAAACCAGACTGCTTTTACCACTCCTGGCAGGTCCTGACATGTTCCGCCTGCTGAAGGTATGTTCTTCATCATCGAAACCTCTCAGTGGATGTGCCGCAAAATCTGAGCACAAGCTTGAATGGCGAAATGACCTTCACCCCTTCATCGTAAAGGAATTGGGCCCATGTGAACTTGAGTGGCAAGGTATCCTACCATGTCCTAGCAATTTCCCAAAGAGCTGAGGAGGAGATGGTGGGCGGCACCCTGTGCATGCCTGTGCTGCATCTACCATCATCTACCCCATCTCCGGGCACACTTTGGCGGTCGTCAGCAGGTTCACCGCTGAGGTCCTCCCGGATGTTGGAAGGCTACGAGATTGTCCCCGAGCTGGACAGCCCCGTGATCACACAGGAGCGGCTGCGACGTGCGAGAGTCGTGGAACGACGAAGCATCATGTTTTTAGCGCCTGGTGTGGTGTGACCTGGTACACTCCCTGAAAGAAATCATGGAAGTGGATGGCATCGACCCCTTGAATAACAATGTTTTTTACAAACAGGTGGCTTTCCACTTCCATGGTTAATTTCAGGGAGTGTAAATGATGACGTTCAGTTCATCCTCCGGTGCTCTGTTGTAAGTTTAGGGAGGGAAAGCTTTGTAACCCACCAGGTGAAAGCTTTTGCCAGCCAGAGGTGAGAAATACCAACAGTCCCTGATTAAGAAAATATGGTAGGATCACAGTACAGGTTGTTTACCAATTTCTTCAAAGTGACCTTTTGCAGGCCCAAGTGACCTCAAAGTGTGATACCAAAAAAAATATTGAAGAACATTGAAGAACCAAGTATAGGGAACGTGTGTGATCAAAACAAGACAACCGGAACAGTGGGGGGGGTTATCGCATGGTATCGTGCAAGCGTGTTGTTGATGTGTTTTTTGATATGCGTGAAGGCTGATGGTCCAATGTTTGGCCTCCACCAGCGACTCTTTGGTCGGAACGAACCGATTTCGGCTCCAAAGCCTCCCGTGACGATCTCGCGGTCGCCGCGACGATCTCGCGGTTGCGTCCGATGTTCGCACCAGGCGCCCTCCGTCTTGCCCTGCCGCATTGATGTGAACTTAGTCACCGGTTTGCTCGGGAGCCCAGGCTGTTTGCGGTGTGACGAGAAGTAGCACGTGGGGTTCGGAGGAGTTAGAGAGGTTTGGGTGGATGTATGTGGATGTTAGATGGACGAGCCGTCTCTCAGTTTCCCCAAGGTTTCACTTAGTATTTACCTGTGATGACAATGGCACCACCGGAGGCTCGCAAGTGTCGCCGGCCGTCCGCGGAACCTCTGTCTGAGGACACTTCACAACCATATGCATCATGAGGCATCCTTGCAAAGTTTGCCCCAACTTCTTTAGTCCACCCATCACCCATGTCATATCCACCCAGCACTGGCCCAGCATCCCAGCTTTTTGGAGCCCCACTAGCAACCCCAGCCCACCCACTTCCCTCAAGTCCAGTAGCTCTGAAACTGAGGGCCTGTGAAGGCACTGGCTCCTTCGCAACGGCCATCATCACTTTCACAGCTACACGCAGCCAGGGAAGCCCAGTCCCTGTTTTGTTCGAAGCGGGAGAGGCTGCAGATTTGAGCCTGTATATATGAAACTGTATGACCGAAACAGGAGGCTGTTTCACCCGCAATGCATCCGTAATGCGTGTTTTTTCCGACAGGAACCTAAGGGATGAAACTATCTCAACCCCGAGGATTTCCCAACTCTATGGGAACAACCCGATCCGGAAATCCTGCTGGGAGAAGTTGGGAAGCAGCTCAGCTGCGGTTCCTGACTGCTTATATAGTGATAAGATTTGTTAGTAGAGTAAGACATGTTTTTGCAAGTTAGACAGTTAGGCAATGTGATACATATATACAGTATTATACACGCACTATATATACATAATTATACATAATTATTTACATAGTATATGTATGAAATATATATATATGATTTAATGAGTATTAGATATAATAGTTGTCATGGAATATTACGTAAGCAGAGATCATGTGCAGACCCGTTTGACAACTCTTGGTGCCACCTGGGGTACAACGCACAGGTCCGACATACCCAATGGCACACAGGATATTTTGAGGTAGAGCCAAAGAGTATGAGGTGTACGATAGATAGATCCAAACGTGTTGTTTTACATGTTTGCCCTTGGGCCTTTGGCTGTTGTGACCCGCTTCCAAATCCTACTTCAGACCGTCCAGGTCGGTTCGGGGCTTTTTGAGAATCGACGGTGGACTATTCACTGGTTGTTGTTGTGTTTGATTCTTGGTCCTTGTCCCTTTACAATGTGATGCACACCGTTTGTAAAGTTAAGCTGCTTTCGCTGAGCATTCTCCCTTTTGATCAGGTCTAGGATCACTGATGTTTTGCTCACTAGCAATGCTGAAGGGAAACAGGCTAGTTACGTATGGACTGGACAGATATGAAAAGACTGACTGGTGCGACTCGTGTGGATTGAAGGAATATGAAGGAATCTCCCAATATATGGCACTTGTTTCTAGTAGCTTCTTGTTACTACTAGTAAGGCACTTGTTACTACTAGCGTGGCACTTGTTTCTAGTAGCGTGGCACTTGTTACTACTAGTAAGGAGTCCTCAGGATCCATCGCCTCATTCTGACGTCGCGCGTCGCGACTCCACGGCGCGACTCCACGACGACCATGCATGTCCGCGAAAACGAACGCTGCCCAGGTGGCCAGCTGGTGTCTTTGCAAGCGAAGGCTTGGTTCCAAAGGGTATAGTATGGAGGTCCAACAGTTTGAGCTGTTGGGTTCGGAAGCGAACAAACATGCAGCTAGAACATACAAGCTCAACTATAGGATCAAGACAAATCAATCAGTCACGTGGGATCGTTGGGACCCTTGAATTTGAGGCTGATCACCATCCAGACAGAGGGAAGCATTGGTCTAAAGAAATATCCGCATGTCGCATTCCCCGGTTGAACATACCCCACGACCAAGTAGGGGGTTTTAAATGCTCCACTGCAATGTCATATCAATATCAATTGTGAGCTAGTTCATGGGCCATGCCATGTTTAATATGTTTTTGCAGCCAACGGTCACTATGATGCCACCAAATGCCATGCTTCCTGAAGAGACCCTCAAAAATGGGTTTCTCATAGACTCGGACCCCAAGAGACCACTTAGGAGCGGAGCTCAGAAGGTTCCTGGAAGTTGATGTCGTTTTTGGCCCATCAAAATCATCAAACCAAGGACCCCCATTTGGTCATCGAAACTGCAGCACCCAGCCGAGCCACGCCGAACGGACAGAGGTGGGCGATGAATCCTATGACTTCACCAACGCCACTTGAACTGAGTCGACCAGGAGAAAGGTCGAGGGCAGACGTGGACCGGGTCATAATTAAGTCATGTGCATTTGTTTTATTTGCAGTTGTTTGTTTGGTTGTTCTACGGGGCGCACTAGTATTGTGTTGCTGGTTAAGAAGATTGTCAAGAAGAGACGAGGAGTTACTGCAAGTAGTACTACAAGGATTTGATGTCAGGTCTTCTCTGTTTTGTTGAGCAGTCTTGCAGAATACATGCTGGAACATGCTCGACCATTACACGACCTTGCATCATCAATGTACTCAAATCTTGCTTTTATCAGGTGACACTTGTTTCATCATTTAAAGGTCCCTGCCACTGATTGGCTACAATATGATACAATATGAATATGCGGTAATATGCGTGTCAACATACGTAGGTTTGACGTTTGCAGGTGCATTCATCACGCTGCTTAATCTCTTGATGGTCAATTTTAATCAAACGGGAGAAGAACTTCCGTTCTCTAAAGAACTTTTGTCAGCCCGCACTATGAAGAGGAGCAAACCTTGCACTGACGTGGCTGACTGTGAAATCTTTCTCCAACCAAACAAACTCAATCTCAGGGTAATCGGGTAATCCAGAACTCTTTCAACATCGTCCAAACCTCATCCAACTTCTCGCCAAAAATGTGCTATAGGCTATTCTCCAGCTCTGGTGGAAGCTCCGACCGCGTGAGCTTTGACTGAAGCTCCACACGGCCTGGTGGAAGGCACGCTTCGGGGATGGCGTCGATGGTCCCATGGTGATCTTCGGCCGCTCCAGAACCGTGCGGAGCCTCAGACAGGTGCGATTCGCGAAGTCCGTTCGGATCCGATCGAAGGGATCGTTCAGTCCGAAACAGGTTTTTGTTTGTTTTAAAGTCCGAAGAATGGTTTGGTTTCTAGGAGTCCAGGCTATCCGACCCACGTTTTTGTTTGTACCAGAATCTTTCGAAGTAGCGCTAGTATGCTACTGTATTGCTATCATGAATTGTGGTTTAGCTTGAATGATCTTAAGGCAGATGATTGTTTGTTGCAGGGTTTTAAGAAAGCATCGAGATGATTCAAGATGTATCAAGTATCATGCTCATACTAGTTGTTTTATTCATTGGGCACCCATCATTTTATCTCTCATCGTATGGTAGTTGCAAGATTGGGATTGGGAGATCCCGCATTTTTGGGTGCAAAAGAGTTACGCATGAATGATCAATTGCTGGACTCGACCCTCTGACTCTGAAGGATTGAAGATGTTTGGAGATCGCAAGAGTCTGACGAAGGACGAAGGTGTGGCCGTGTAGACACGTCTTCTCCGCCGCTTGGAGCGACGGTGAGCAGCGGGTGCTCCATATTGCTCCGCCATCCGGTGCTTGATGAAGCAAAGGACGTGGGCAACACACTAGTGATGGAAGCCTAGAGGGGGCTTCGCAACTCTTTCGACTTGCAACATGAGTGGAAAGGTTTGGGGTGCACGTGCAACCAGGGCCAGAAAACACCAACGCGTGATCAGAGAGCCTTGTATAGAAAAGGTACAAGTTAAGTTTGTTCCAAGAAAGACCGACCGCTGAAAGGACAGGGCATTAGTGACATGCTAACATTCATTGAACGCACTAATTGAGTTTTCGACCTAGTGGAGACTGTACATTTAAGCCAATGATCTCAACTTCAAGCAACTGACCGACAAAATGTCCATGTCTCCAAAAAAACACACACGCTACCAAAAGTTGGCTCTTCAGTTGCTTTTCAGTCGCAAAAAACATGCAAAAAACACTTTTTGACTCCACGAAATCAACTGCTACCGCTCTCAGATGGTGGTGATCGAGATGGAGGTGCAAAGCGGTGTGGGAACTCAGACCTTTCATTGGCAGACCTGCGGTGTGGTGATTGGAATGACAAACCAATCAAGGCCAGTTGACATGTTGAACAGACATACCAGATAGGCCAGCCTGAGAAATCGAGCAACATGTCAAAACTACCAGGTTTATCAGGTCGGTTGGAGTATGCTCAATTTTGAGATGCTGCTAGTAACTAGAGTTGATCTGATGATCTGATGTAGAGTTACAAAGGTCAGTTACCCAGAGATTTTGTCGATGATTTCTGCCATGTGGCGATGAATAAGTACAGACTCCAGAAGAAGGTTACTGCGGTACCCTGTTTATATAACGCCAAATGAGTTGATTTCCTTGAGATTGAGACCCAAAACACCCAGCAAATTCTCTTGGTTCACTTCCCGAGCAGAATACACGGATGTCAACCTACCTCTTTGGGTTGGTGGGCGGCTGTTGACATTGATCCAAGCCTCTTGAGAAAGGAGCTTCGAACACGCACCTTCCACCGCTTCTGCCGCCAAAGATCCCACGGCCTCCTTGGCCCACCGAACCCCAAACCCCCAGAGCGCCTTGCGAGCGAAAGCGACGCCAAAGCCCGAAAGCGTTGCACGGTCGGCCGTTGCACAAAGCCCTGGGGCCCTCGGTCCTCGAGGTTTCCAGTCGCAGATCACGATCCACAACATGCAAAACCCCATGACGTTCAAACCTCAGTGGTCGAACGTCAATCGGCGCGTGGTGGGAGTTTTGCGTGGTGGGTCATGGTGGGTGGCTTGGAAGGGTTCAGAGGTGTTTTTGTTGGTGCCTGGAGTCCTTGTTTTTAAACTGTTAAGGTACAGTGCACATGTTTGAGCTGTGATGATGTTTGTGGAGTTTTGTTGTTCGTGGTGAGACGATTGAACAGTCTTGCTCTTGGAAACCAACTTGTTGCTTTGGGCAACATTGGATGCCCACGGCGTTGATGCTTGGGAACTAAAGGCCTGATGACGCCTGCAGACGAAGAAGCCCCTTCCATTCAATTAAGTAGCATCAAGTAACTCAGGTAGCACAAATCACACATGTTTGTTCCAATTCATTCCTCAGCATTTGCTCCGTCCATGCAAAAAGCGGCTGGCTGGCATCCCTTATGTTGTGAATGCATGGGAACTCTTTGGTTGACGTAGCATGACCATCCCTCCCTCCCCCTCCCTCCTTCACACCTTTCAGGCCGGGTCCTTCTACTTGGGCAGTCGGGGAGCACAGCAGAGGAGCACAGCGGAGGAGCACGGCGGAGCACGGTCTTTGGAGCAAAAAAAACACTTCCACCAGAGGGTAACAGGATGATACCTTTTGTTTGAGCCATATAAAATAACAAATGTTCATATAAAATGCATACTGTATTTGTGCTTAGCAGGATTCCATGATCAGTCAAAAGGCCAGCATCAGTCTTCCTCACCAGACGAATGTTTGACCTTCACTAGTGTTTGTTCCCTCCACATCCACAGCCCTGGCAACAGTATGGACTGTTCGAGCTGTGATTGTGCCAAAATGCTCAGAATCCTTGTTGTGTGATTGCAGCGATTGCATAGTGTGCACACAGTTTTTTACACTTGGGTATTGGTTTACACTCTCCGCCACCTGCATGACCAACAGGCTAAGGGTAGTATTGCGATGATGTGTGACACGGCGTTGCTGCTTTTCCGCGTGCAGGCGCCACTCGACGTACCATCGGATTCACCGACGTCGGACTGATCGATTGGGCAGACATGCATCCCGCTCTCAATGGATCGCATGGTTTGTTGTGGTATGTACGTGTTCATGTCAATATGTTGTTGCTTTCCAACTCTACAGTCGATCCATCAGAAAAACCCAACCAGTCCAGGAGCCAACATTCGTCTCTTCTCTTCCTAAGGTGACCACCTACCTCAAGGGCCCTGTGCCGGGTGCTGTGCGCGGACGCCTGGAGATTGTCACTGGATGGTCCCAAATCCACCAGGAAAAGTCCCAGCGGTCTCATTGAAATCTCAGAGGGTTTGGGTGGGTTTAAGATTTGGTTCTTGAACTGTAACTGCTTGATTGGCTGGACTAGGTTCAACATTGGTATTCATCTCCATCTGGTTCATGATTCCAAGCTACTGATTGGGCCGTGCGTTATACGATCCAGGCTTGGTTGGTTTTGGTGTGTTTTACGATCACCCTCAGCATAGATTTGAGGTTTGCTCTGCCGATCTCTGCCGTTTTCTTTTTTTTTTCTGGAGACCTGTGTGTCAGTGGCATGAGCACAAAAGCGCAGGTTCCTTTACCCCTCTCTGAACAAACCCATTGCCCACTCTTTTTGTTGCAATATTAAAGGGACAGACGTTTTCCAAGGATGCCGCAATGCCCGATGCACTACTTCATCCAATCTTTGCATATCGCACCCACGCACTATATGCATGAATTTGCACTGGTGTTTTACTGTGCAGTTTGCACATTCCTTGTGGGTTGCGGTCCTGCACAGGCCTGTGTTGTTCAGCAGCTCTATTATGTGTGCAAACTCTTCCACATCCACTCGAGGTCTACTATATGGTTTTATGTGTGCTTGTGTGTATCATCATTATATGATATTGACTATGTGTGTCGCTGTATTTTTGCACTGGAGACACCGCATCAAGATAGATCAAGCTATTAAGCAGCGCGGCCTTGTTGGAGAGGGGTGCCTAGCATGACCATTCATATAGACATAAAGAGGTAGATGAACATTCATGTGTCTTTCAAAAACTGTGTGCGCATGAACAAAGGCAATCAAGGCAACAAAACTCAATAGAGTAGGTGCTATAAATCGGCCATTGGAGAGAATGTGCCGCATGCCAGGGTGACCACAACATTGATGCCCTTGGTCACGTGCGGAGCCAAGGAATTCCAAGGTACATGTAAAACCATCAGCTGCAGAATCATCAAAGCATCGAGCCGAGCTGGGTTGTTTGTTTTATTGTTTTTTGGTGATAGGCTGGTTTTGGCTTCTTGGATGCACTACAGATCATTTTGAGGTCAGGGCATCCAATAAGTGTACTTTGTTGGAGGTCATCAACAGCCAGGGTTACAAGAAGAATGACCATGTTGGATCGGGTTTGAAGTATGTGCTACCAGTCTTCTGTTTTCATCACTTATAAACTATCTCGCCAAGCCAGAGATGAGCTTGCATGAGCTTGCATGATGTGTTCTTGTGAGTCTCAGGGTGGTCATGACCGTCATGACTCAATCCAAGCAGTTCAAATGTTTACAAGCAATTTAGGGGACTTCTTATCGCGGCTCCGTCCTCCAAAGTTGGTTGAGGCCATGTGTCTGCCAAAAAAAGCGGTTGTTCCGAGGTGTGGTTTTCGGGTACCTTGTTTCCCACCAGTGGTTTGACCAGTGGAGAATGAATGAGTCAAAGCCAGGTATAGCCAGTGCCAGGTTATTCAATCTCTATTCGTAAACGCGAGAACGTTCAAGGTGACACGATCGGGGACAACAGCAAGCTCAGACCTCACATGGTCACTTCTGTCTTGAGATAGACTTCATACAGTATCTACTGTATTCTTCCGTGACACCAAAATATTGTTACAAGTTGATAGAAGTTAGTTGGAAGCTGTGCTTCCAGGAGGCTTGAACATATCTATACTTTGGTTCCATGTGATTGTTGTTCACTAACAAAATAGTTCAGACTAATTAAATATCAAATATAGTATTTGCCACACCAACTGAACCACATCACAGACAGATGTTGCAAGGGTCTTTGGAAATCTATAGGTTTTTTAATGATATCCATAGTGCTGCTTCCTCCTCCCACACCTCATTTGCCCCCCGCGCAGCGCGGAGTCCGTCTTCGCACCGAGGTGCACTTCCATCGGCGGTGCCTGCGGCATGTTCCCCTCCCCAGAGGCCCGACGCGACGAGGGGTGCGGAAAGCCCAGGAGAACGGTCAAAGCGGCGGTCCGTTGTGCGGAGACGGTCAGCGGTGGCGTCACGTGTGGAGGTCCTTTCAAGGGTCGTAGACGGTCAGCATAAAGGACTGGTCTTTACTGACCCAATGGTAAAGCTCTCAAAAAGGTGTTTGGGCTATAGGGGTGGTCAAAACATATTCAGGTGTTTCCACACACAAGTGTCAGATCGAGATGCAAGTCAGCCGCTATAGGTCTATAGGTCCGTGAAATCAAATCATTTGGGCGACGGGCGACTCGGATGCCAAGTTGCTGAGGTTAAACCTGCTGGGTCCGGACGTGCTGGGCTACATCCGCCGGAGGGCCTAATGTCTGAAAGCTCAACCCCATGAGCGTCGGCCATGGAAGAGCCAACCATGCTGAAATGTTTGATGTATTGATTGGTGAGGAGTCATGAGTTGAAGTATCCTGTATGGTGTTCAGATGTGTTCAGCGTCAACATAACACAAATTTCTAGCAGGATCTTCATCCAACCCACAGAAACTTACCACAGGTAGATCGGTTGCTTTGGCTTCAACCTAGCCTCAATTGGTCTTTCAGACCTGAGTGTGCCCAGATCGTTGTTCACCTTCATGTTTCATGTGTGCAGGTCTCGGCTCACCCAGATCGGGCCACCCTAGGGCGACCCTGTTACGACTGATTCAGCTCTCGGCCTGGACTCGACGCAAGATCCAGCTTGACTGGAGCACCGACGCTGAGTCGATGACGGGAGTGGATGGAGTAGCATGTTGGGTTCCCGAACAGATACCGTAGGGTTCCAGATCATTCCATGGTTCCATGAGTTTACCCGTTGACTCGTTGCTTGATGACCCAACATGAGGTAACTGCGTTCAGAGCGTCCATGAAATCCTAGCTCGCAGTATCTCGCAGTCATGAACTCCTTCAAACATCCCAAGTGGACATCAATGGACCATCTTGGACTCTCATGGACTGAAAAAATCTTCAAACTCCAAGGTGTGATGCAGAATTCCTTCATCGAACCCATCTACTACGGCGTGTTGGGAGCCCGGTTGGCACGGCCGAGTCTCCGTGATCGGATTTCAAGCCGATGCCCGGGGCCTGCCGGGGACGACCATGCTGGCCGAAGAAGACCGAAGAAGGATGCAGCACCTGCACCAGGCTTTGCTCAAAAAGGTGCATGGTATATTTGGTTTGGCTGGAATTGCCCTATCATGCCCTATCTATATAGTTGCTTCATGTGTGCTAGCAAAAATTCTGGAAATTCGGATTTGTGCAGAGGAGAGGACTGGCTGTCATTATTTAGTCAGAAAGACATAATGCAGTCATTTCTTGCATGCAAACTAGGAAGCATGAATTGAAACCCATATGTGTGGTGTTACTTAGGCAACCAAACAAGTGAAGACTCAAGCAAGTAATGACAGATCTCTTTTCCGAAGAGTGTCGTAGTCTCCTTTGTCTAATATGGAGAAAGACACCAAATGATTGTATGACTGTTCAAACCCTGCCCGACTACAACCCCGCTCCTGTTTGAATGACTGCTTTCAGCAGCGCTTTGTTTCGAAGTCTTGGAGAGAAAGCGTTTACAGTAGACTGAGCAACCAACCATGTGTAAGGTGTCTTTAACTGGTTGTCCAAAAGGTGAAATCCTCCCACTTTGGGGGCTCAGGCCAACCAAACTAGCTTGACATCGTGTGATTTCTTGATTTTCTTGCAAGACCAAAAGCCCAGTCAATCGGCACGGGATGAGGCCAAATGCCTTGGTGACCTTCGAGCTGAGAGGGGTCCGGGGGCCTCAGCGGCCTGTGACCACCAAACCAAAGAAGTTTGGATCTGAGCCCATGGTCAACCAGCTGTCGTATGCCTTTCTTAAACAAACATTAGATGACTTCTTCCATTTCCAATCTACTGGATGACTGGAGGATGGCGAATGCGGCACATGTCCAACTGTCCATCGTCATTGATGTCCGCCAGGAAACCTCTGCTGATGTGAATGATGTCCTGGTGGTTCGCCGTCCCCCAGGCTATACCTTGCCCGGGAGCCCTGCACCATCCTCGGGCCATCCGGGCCGTCCTCGGACCGATCGACACGCACTCGGCCCAAAGGATCCATGAATTTGACGAAAACGCCCTTGGAAGAGACAAAAGCAAAAGCGAGCCCTAGCTATGTCTTCATTCGCCCTGCTCAGGAATTTGTAGGGTGGTTGCGTATCTGTTTGAGTCCATACTCTCACTAGGGTCAGTGGAACCCCGCAGGGTGAACTGTCCGATACGTCCTGACTTGGCTGTGACATGCTGTGACTGGGTTTCGAGCCCAACGTATTCGTGGATGTTTAGACAGAGCAAGGGCGCATGTTGAATTCCAAGTATGATCGATTGGTTAAGGGGATCGGCCAAAAGTGAGATGGGCATTGAACACTGGTTGTTGCTGTGATTTACCAAACAGTTCAATGTCAAACAGGTTGATCCACTCAATCAAGACTGGCAGTGCCTGTGTGGTGTGCATTGATCCGAGGACAGATGGCACCTTGAGAGCTCTAAGATCGGTGAGCTTCGGGGAGAATGGCCAGGGGCTTTGGAGAGCAGTGCCATGTTTTTTTCTTTTTGTGTGTGTGCTTTTTCCCGAAAGCATTGCGAAGGGTTCTTCCGGAAAATCCTTTGAACTTACACTTCGACACTTACACTTACACACACACACACACTGTAAGAGCGAAAGCATCCAAGTGCGAAGTATGCCAGTGTCAAAGTATGCAAGTGTAAGTATGCAAGCATGATATGCAAGGGTGAGTATGCAAGCACGCAATGAGTATACAAGCATGCAATGAGTAGGCAAGTGTGAGTATGGAAAACTAGCACGGGAGATGTCCTAATGAAAAAACATTTCCCCACTTTATAAATTCTCTCTTAAAGGCGGAGTGCGGGACGAACAGCGTCAACCGAAAGTGCAACCCTCTGCGGAGATCGTGCGTGTCGAGTGCGCGAAATGCAGGCGAGAGTGCGATTTGTCCGGTGCGCGCGCAACCCTCTGCGGAGATCGGGCGTGTCGAATGCGCGAAATGCAGGCGAGAGTGCGATTTGTCCGGTGTGCGCGCAACCCTCTGCGGAGATCGTGCGTGTCGAGTGCGCGAAATGCAGGCGAGAGTGCGATTCGCCGGCTGCGCGCGCAACCCTCTGCGGAGATCGTGCGTGTCGAGTGCGCGAAATGCAGGCGAGAGTGCGATTTGCCGGGTGTGCGCGCGACCCTCTGCGGAGATCGGGCGTGTCGAGTGCGCGAAATGCAGGCGAGAGTGCGACTTGCCGGCTGCCCGCGCAACCCTCTGCGGAGATCGTGCGTGTCGAGTGCGCGAAGTGCAGGCGAGAGTGCGATTCGCCGGGTGTCCGCGCAACCCTCTGCGGAGATCGTGCGTGTCGAGTGCGCGAAATACAGGCGAGAGTGCGATTTGGCGGATGCCTGCGCAACCCTCTGCGGAGATCGTGCGCGTCGAGTGCGCGAAATGCAGGCGAGAGGTGTGGAGTATCTGGGGAGCTGGGAGATGAGCACTGGTGACTTTGTAGTACAACTGTAGTACGCGGAGTAGCTGGGGAGCTGGAAGCTCAGAACTGGTGACTTTGTAGTACAACTTTAGTACGCGGAGGAATCTGTGGAGCTGGAAGCTGAGAGTATAGCTGTGGAGCTGGAAGATGAGAAGTGGCGACTTAGCAATACAACTTTAGTACGCAGAGTAGCTGGGGAGGGGGGAAGATGAGAACTGATGAGTGGGTAGTAGGTGAGAACTCGCGA